AAAATTAAACAGCTAAATATTTAATTTTAATATTTTGTTCCTTTAGATGGGGTTCAATTATCTACTGTCTGGAAATTCTTCACAACAACAGGTTAGCACTGCAGGGATTAGCTATAGATTATGAAGATTATCACTTGCTAAGTCTATTCAAAATCTTTTGTTGACAGAAGTATTCTAGGATAAAGTGGATGGGTTTATTAAGTTATTAAAATCATTAGCCATAACAATTGCAGCTGTCCAAGGAGATAAAATAAGCCTCTCCATCGTGGCCTTTTTGCGATTCAGAAAAATCATTTCAGGGCAATATCCTTTGCAAACCAATACTAAAAAAAGAAGAAAATACTGTGACTAAAATAATTTCCAGAAGAAGAAAATTTCTCATGCGAAACATTCACTTTGATAAAAATTTGGTGGATCCATGATGTAAACGATGTCATATCTCTGGAGATGAAACAGTGTGTTCTTTAATATTTAGTCTTTATAATATATTAATATATTATATAAGAATTATTAATCAGAAGAAATAGTCATGCGTTTTGTTGAGCAAAACTTGAGATTTTGTGAGGACGTCAGCTTAAATAGTTATCCTTTGTAATAAAAACATCAGGTTCTAAAGCAATCTTCCTTTTTTATTTTTGGTAGCAATATTTTCTTTTGGCTTTTACTGGTTTTTACATCTTGATTTTTATATAAATTTTATTAAAAGATAGCTACTTAGGTTTATATATATATTTATATATATGTTTAAATATATATATATATATATATATATATATATATATATATATATATATATATATATATATATATATATATATATATATATATATATGCATATATAAACCTAAGTAGCTATTCTTTCCAGCTTTGCAATTGGTAATTTTTGATAATATGTATTTAATTTTATTTTTACCACATTAGGAAGCACAACTGAAATGAAAAGTAACCTTTACATAAAAAACGAAGCTGTCTTGTATTACTTGTCAATGGCATACATGTAATGGTAAGTTATCAACCATTTTTGAAAAAAGATTAGACATTTTGTTCTACAGATGTACCATTCAACTTGAAAACTGATGCCATTGATGCCATTGTATATAACTTATATTATAGCATTTCAAAAAATCTTCCTCGCAAAAAATCTAGATTCTTAAAAACTTTCCTCGCCAAAAATCTAGACTCTTCTTCGCAATAAGAGTTTTTCTAATAAAAAATATTTTTATAATGTATTTAATGTACTTTTAAGTAATTTCTGGATAAAATTTTTCAAAACTAGTAAGCAAAATTAGTAAAAAAATAAAAAGGAAATTAAAAGTTTAAATGAAAAAATAATATTGAAACGTTTTTATTACTATTGATTTACTTTTATTGCGACCTAATAGTTTGTACTCAATCAATAGTAGGTGACTACTACATAGTTTGCACTCAATCAATTGTAGCTGACTTTATACCACATAGTGAGGTCAAAAAAATAAATTTTATGCACAAGGTAATTTAAAAAAGCAATAAACTACTGCACATCTACAGGTAACTACGTATTCACATTTTTTTTTAGATTTAAATAAAGTATTTGGTAACACTGATTAAACCTATTTTTTTGCAATCATTAGACCAAGAAGTAAGAGGTCAGACCAAATTACTCTTAATACAATTTTGTCAATATTAAGGCTCAGTTTAAAAATCAGTTTGTTGCGTTCGCCAAAAGCAATATTTATATAACACTATTGGTTCGATTAACAGAATATTTAACCAAATAATAAGTTGTTATAAACCATACTTTCTTTAATTAATTTTAGTATGGACTTTGTGTCTATATATTTGAACACGAATATTAATAATAATGATAATAATAATAATAATGATAATAATAATAATAATAATAATAATAATAATAATAATAATAGCAATAATAACAATACTAACAATAATAATAATAATAATAATAACAGTAATTTATACTGCAACCACCTCAATTGAGGAGGGTTTAAACTTTATATGGTCATAATTTTTGAACACTAAAATATTTTACTATAAAATTTAAAATTTCTCGATAAATATAAGTCTAGTTGAAAATAGTACAAAAAATATTTCATCAACTTGTTGCTTTCACGTTTGGGGCAGGGAGGGGGGCTAAGATTGTAGGGTTTCTCGTTCCCATTCTCCAATCACAGTAATTTTTTTGTTTAAAGAATCTTTTCGTCATACATATGAACTTAAAAAAATTTGGAATATTCTTGTTGTTTATTAGTTGATTATTTCAAATACTTAAAAACTAATAAAATTATATATATATATATATATATATATATATATATATATATATATATATATATATATATATATATATATATATATATATATATATATATATATATATATATATATATATATATATATATATATATTAAATTATAAATATATAAATAATATATGTTAATTTTTTTTATATTACTTTAGTTTTACTCCAGGCTATTCATTCTTTTTAAGTAGTGGAAGAAATCAAACTTTTTTGAGACACTAATTGATAAAAGTAATAGATAAAAAAACACGTGAAAGTGGTGATAATGATCAGACTATGATGACTCCATAAACATTTGGTGCTGGACATTCAGAAAAATATAAAAAAAGTTTGTGATAAAATTTACTTTTTATTTAGTTGGCAGGGTGAATAAAAAAAAGCAATTGCTTTGACTCAGCGTTTTTCGAGTAATTGCTCAGCTTTACGTGAATAAATATTTAAGCAAAATCGCTCAAATTTTTTATTCGCATAAAGCTGAGCAATTTACTTCAAAAACGCTGAGTAATTGCTTAGCTTTACGTGAGTAAAAATTGAGCAAAAGTGCTAAAATATTTATTAAAGTAAAGCTGAGCGATTCCTCTAAAAACGTTGAGTAAAAACAATTACTTCTTTTTACCCGGCCAAGTTAATATCAGTGACTTAGTTGAACTATGCAAAAAAACAACAGTAACCGAGGAATCATTACAAATAATCAAAATGAAAAAATTATGGAGAAAAATGTAAAATAGATATGTTGGAGAAAGAAGAAAAAATAAAATAACTAGAAAGACAGCAAAAAACTATAATAAAAAAAAACTCTCGCTAACATTTTTTTAATGAACCCTGAGGTTTCTAATATCTTTTGAGCAAGAAAGAACATAGACCTTCATACTATTGAAACTAATCAACCATTTTTCTTGTTAGGCATTTTTAATATAGCTTTAAATGAACCAGCTACATATGAAAGATAAGCGTTGGGGTGTTTGAACTCTAAATGAACTGATGAAGCGACTAAATACACCGTTTACAACTAACTCATGCCACTGGGAAGTTCAACTATAAAAAACCAAAAATCAACAGAACCAGGCAAAGTAATCCAATCTTCATTTATTCCAAGCAGTTTAACACAGTAACCTTGAGACATCTGGAAGAAATGTCATTTATGCTGAGATACACCAAAGTTTGTTTCATAACTTAAGATGACAAAGCACGCGCGTGCTTTGTCATCTTAAGTTATGTCATCTTAAGTTATTTTTTTTTTTTGGCAGGTTTATGGGAACGCGCGCGTTCCCATAAACCTGCCAAAAAAAAAAGATAATGAATCTCAGTGAATATTCATCACTTTTTGTTTACTTAATCTTAAACTAAACGACATTATGTCAATATTAAGGGGAAATTTTCAATTTTTTTTTGTAACAACTTTTGTCCATATCTGTCTACTTAATCATAAATTTCGAATTTGTTATCTCTATTTTGCTTCTCAAGCAATGTTACAAAATAATTTGAAAAAAATTTAGGATAAAGAGCATAATATTTTAATACAAATCAAACTAGTTGGGTTGGCCAATCAGAATAGTTAAAAAGAAACAAGTTGAAAAAATTCAGAAAATATAGAAAAGATAAATAAAATTTATGTTGATGTTCTAGAGGAAGGTTTTTATAAATCAGAGAAGTTTCAAATGAGTGTTTTTATTCTCCATGGGTAGATTTTTTAAATATTTTAACTAGTAAAAAGTTGTTTAATTGGAAAATATTAAAACTCTTAAATATTATTTTTGAATTTATGATCATGATCAATTTAACTGATTTAGGAAATTACAATAAAATAGATTTAAAATGGTTCCAGGATAAAAATTAAAGAATTTTTTTAGGGGATACAGTTATTAGTGGTAAAAAGCAAAAACTGCTCCAAACTGTAAAGAGTCTTTTAAACTGTTTTGTTGAAACATTTTGTTATAAAAAAGAGAGAATTTTTTTTGTTAAGAAAGAAAATGTTTAAACTGCAAATTTTTGATTTAAAAGAATTTAAATATCTTTATTAGATAATAATTATAAATAAAAATTCGCTGCTCATTGGTCAACGTTAACGTAGTAAACGTTTTTATTTCTAGATTAGTGTTACGTTGGGACAATGTTGCTTTATTTAGGTATTACTGTCCTATCTTATGGAGATTTTTGTCAACAAAAAAAAATTTAACTAACAAAAAAATTCACGAAAAACAAATTTTACTAGCTGGTTAACTGAACTAAATATAAACTTTTTAAAACCTTTTTAAAGGTTATTTTAAACCCTAATCTTTTGAAAATATTTTAAAGATTATTTCAAAGTTCTAGTTTTTTGAAATCTTTTTAAAGGTTAATTAAAGATCTTTTTAAAAATCTTTTTTGAAAATCTCTTTGAAAAAATCTTTTTAAAGGTTACGCGTCTACCTTTAAAGGTTGTTTTTCTTATCCCTTTAGAGTATAATTATTTCAAAATTTTTATCTTCTTTTTTAACCTTTATAAAGTTTATTTCATAACTTTTTTAAACATCAACTTAAAGTTTTATAACCTTAAAAAAAGGTTCAAATCATTAAAAATTTATTACTCATTACAAGCCAATCATGATAAAGGTTAACCAAAACCATTTGTTTTCAGTCATACAATTTTTTATTTCATATATTGTACATTAACAGGCAAAAAGAGAAAGCTTATAGATAACCTAACAAATCAATGAGATAAATCGATAAATCAAATAATAAGATCAAACAACTCAAAAAAAAAAAAGATAAGCGTCGATGAAACGTATGCAACGTGGGAATCTCCAACGCCTCGGTAAGAAACGTATGCAACGTGGGAATCTCCAACGCTTCGGAAAGAAACGGCAAAATTACAATGCTTGATATGATCCGCACTTTTATATAAAAATTAATACTACTTTTTTTTATCAATATATTTATTTATTTTTTCATTAATAAATAAGATAGTGGTTAATAATTTAAATTTTTTATACCAGGCTATCAAAAACAAAAAAAATTTTTTTTTTTACTATAAAACATCTTTACACAGTGTTTCCGATTGCGTCGTTTCAAAGCAAAAAAAAAAAAAGAGAATGTTTTGAAAATATACGTATTCAAAACTTGGGTTTTAAAATAATTCAGCTAATAATAAAAACAATACATAAAGACTTAAAGCAAAAAAATTTATTTAGAAGCCTGAATATTAATTTAGAAGACCACTTAGGTTTTAATTACGTTTATTTTTTAGATTTAATTAGCTTAAATTGAATTTGGATTAGTTGACCTATGTTTTTTTATGTTATAAAGTGAGTTTTACATATTTACTGTTTTTAAAAAGTAGGCTGCAATTTATTTTAATCTACTGAGTTCATATTGCTTGCGTTTGTTTAAATTTTAAAAAATTTAATTCTTTATAGGTGAATATTATCTGTACAAAAACGCGACAAACATCTGCTTTAACGTAAAAAATAGCTTAAAATTAACATTTAATTTTTGACTTATTTTTATTTTCAAAATTTTAAGTTTTTTCTATTTGATTTTAGTCATTAAAAGAAACGCCTTCCTAGATTCTCAATCTAGCTCCTCCCAAGTCGTAAGTTGGTTACAAAAGAAATTTTTTACATTTTAATTTTAAACCGTTTAAACTTCGGCAAAGTTTTAAAAGAATTGCAAAAAAAAAAAAAAAAACTGTGTAATAGAAAAAACATAACAGTAGAAAATTTTTAAAAACTTCTTATATACTAAACACAAACATGGACATTTAGAGTAAGTTGAATATAAGAATATTCTAAATTTCAAACCAAAAATATTTTTGTTTTTCTATCCTTGCTTTTAAAAATTAAGATTCTTTTTAATTTTTGCATTTAGAAAAAAAGAAACAGCTTTTTTGAAGAAAAATTAAAAAAACTATATTATACGAATTTATCAAATTATTATTATGTTTTTAACAGATTTTTCTAATAATATCTTGTCTTATATATTTTATAATGTTAAAATAATTATTAAATTTATTATTATTAGTCAAAAAATTTAATAGTATTAAATTATTAATATCAGTCAAAAGTATTAACAAAAGAACAATCGGCAATTGCATGTACGATGACATCAAGAAGTGGAAAAGGCTGTTGCTGGTATCAAACAGAAATTATTTTGCCCCCGAAAGGAAAAGGTGTTCATAAAATAACAAATATTTTAACTGGTAAGATAAGTTAAATTGCGATCGATTTAAGTTCAAATATACTCAGAAGTAATAAAGGATTTTCTAATTTAAAATAACTTGAAGAACTTCGTCACTATTCTTCTTAAACTAGCCGTTTAATACTTTAATACAAATTTTAAATAAGTTGGTTTTACTTAAAAGTAAATACAAATCAGAGCTATTTTGAATTTTAGTGGAATATAAATTGTTGAAATTAAATATAGTATTCAATTTTTTTAACTTTATTTATAAACTTTATTTGTTTTTATAAATTTAAATAATCTTTGTTTTTTAATCTTTTTTTAGAACTATCATTCCTTCGTGATATACAAATAGGTGTTTGTAATATTTCCTTAAAGAATACCTCAGCAAGTTTATCTATAAATGAATGCTGGGGCGACGATGTAGGAGCTGATATGGATACATTTTTGAATACCGTTGTTCCTGAAGATGCACCGTACTTGCATACCATTGAAGGTCCAGATGGCATGACTGCTCATATTAAAGCAAGCTTAATTGGTTCTTCAGTGACCATACCTATTACTGATGGAAAACTTAATATGAATACATGGCAAGGTATTTGGTTGCTAGAACATCGTTATCACGGTGGACCTCGTACATTAATTGTTACTGTACAAGGCTGCATAAAAGATTAGTTTTACCTTTTTCAAACATTTTAAAATATTTTTTAATTAAATAAAATTCTATGCGTTACTTAAAAGAGTATAAAGGGAAATATAGGAGGGTATGAAACTTTGATTTTAGAAGAATATAATGTATGGAAAAACTTATTTTTAAACAAAAATTTCTATTATTTATACATAAATATTACTTTTAGTTAAAATATGAGGTTTGTTTACAAGGTTTTAAATATCTTGAGAGTGCGCGCGTAAGTGAAAAATAACAATGACGGAACCAGGAGGGATGGGGGAAAGGGGTATTCACTCCTCCCCCCTAACCACCACCATAATCTGAAAGTCCTAAAATTTTAACCACTTTTTTTTTAAGAGACTCAAATGTGATATAAAAGACAAAAATAATTCAACATTAGATTAAAAATCATAAATTAGCAAAGCTATTTTACTAGTAAGAAGCTTATTATGCTAAAAGGTGCAAAATTGTCATATATCTTTTAAAGATACTTTTGAGGTAAGAAAATTTAACATGCCTCTTTCTTACATGCTCCTCACCCCCCCCCACCCCCCCCACCCCACCTTCGTTTTGATGAGTGCTCAAAAAATATTTATATCTAATGCTAGTATTTTATAGAACTATATAAAAACATAAATACCGTTATCTTATCATAAACATTGTTGTTATGTTATTATACAATTGTTTATAAGAGGTCATATATAATTGAGAAAAACATAGATCTGAAAATTTAGGAGTAGTTTAGAAAGATTATTATAAAATTTAGAGAAAAAAAAAAGTCTAAATAATTTAAACGCTAATACAAGCCACTTTTTTAACAGTTGGAACAATAATATTTGCACTTACCCAAAATGTTGCTTTGTCCGTGTGGCGCCAATTAAATCATGTTGTATTTAATCAATTATTGTATTTAAACGTATACGTTTAAATACAATAATTAACTAAATATAACATATTTTGTTGTATTCGCATAAAAATATTAAATGTAATATATTAAGTTTTTATTGGATAATCAGTTAATGTTCCTCTTGAGAATATATAATATATAAATATCATTATAATGAACGTCTCGCTCTCTTCCAGTCTGTCATAAAGCAAGAACGGACTCGAGTACTCAATAATACTAGTTCTCAACAACTCTTTCTTTGTGTTTAGTTATATCTTCTATCTTAAAAATAAATTATTGAACTTGTTTTACAAGTCTAGTTTAAAGTAAAATTTAAATCCGTTACCGTTTCGATAACGGACTTAAATTTTTTTTTTTTTTTTTGATATTCGACCTGCTTCAAGTTAAGTAAGTTCAAATTTTTTAAAGTGAAAAACGGAATTATTTTTTTTGTGTGCAACTGATAATATATTTTCATTATTTTTCAATTTTACGTATTATCAGAACGTTTTTCTATTTTTCTTTTTTTTCTCGATATTCGACCTGCTTCAAGTTAGGTAAGTTCAACTTTTTTAAAGTGAAAAACGAAATTATTTTTTTTGTGTGCAACTGGTGATATATTTTCATTATTTTTCAATTTTACGTATTATCAGAACGTTTTTTTATTTTTCTTCTAAAAACTGAATTTTTGGCATAAATTTATAAGTGATTGTAATCGTTTTGAAGAGTTCAGAAGGAGAATAGTGTTTAATTTGTTAATGTACTGCAAAGAATGATAAATTTGGTGTTTACTGTCGCTGCAGTTATTTCCCACCGATTTTTGGTCTCCGTGGTTTTTGATTATAAGTTTTCATTGACGATTGTATGTTTGTAAGAGACTAAGAGACTGTATGTATGTAAGAGACTTATTTAATTATATTAGGTGTCGTTTTTTGAGAAAACAGGCAAAAGTGCTGTTGGTAGGGCTGTCAAAAATTGTTAAAATGTCTGCCCGGGTACCTGCTGAACGAACGGATGGTTACACGGGTACCTGTTATTTAAATAATACATTTTATAAAGGTTATACCCATAAACAATCAATAAAAAATTTCATTCAATAATGTCTTTTTTTTTGGGAAGCTCTTTTTCACTTATACCTAAATTATAAATATGTTTTAATTATAATTATTCTTTGTATGTCAGTATTATATACAAAAAGTAAGTACAAAGGTAAAAAAAAACACAAGAAGTTTTACGAAACAATTACTTTTTACAAATTGATAAACTTTTTTTGCGCATTTAAAAAACAAATCTTATTTTAAATTATTTTTTCAACAAAATATATATACCTTTTTAAAAAGAATCTGAAAACATTTTAAATACGATTTACTTAATTGAAACTTGAATTTTTTTCAATGATCTTTAAAAGAATTATACTTTTTATTACCAGGTTTTGAAAGAATTTGTCCGAGAAACAAACTAATAAACGAGTTAAAGGAGTTCTAATTTACGTAAAGATTTTCACTATCTTCTTTTACCTACCAAGTTAATATACTGCTATACTATATATATGCTATTAATAATTTTGAACTTAAAAAAATGAAATAATTTTTAGACATATCAGCTGATAGTTTCCTATCATTTGATAATAGGAAATTGTAACAGGGTAACCGGTTACCGGTTGACAGCATTAACTCTTGGTTAAGACTGTCAACCGGTAATAATTAAGCGTGATTAAAGGATCGCTATTTCAAAATTGATCCTTTAATCATGCTCAACTTGATACATTGTAGTGCTGATAGGGTAAAAAAGAGGCTTGTAAATATTTAAGTAGACTTAAATTTTTTATTATTATTTTATTTTTGTATTTTCTATTGGAAACAACCTAAAACTCCACGACAAAAAGTTAAACTTTTTGTTGTGGAGTTATTTTAATATATTTGTAATTTAATATGCCATTACATTAATAGGTCATAACTGAATGTTATTGCTAAAATACTCGATATGTTATATGCCTTTATCTTAAAAACTGAATGTCATTGCTAAAATACTCGATATATTATTTTATCTTAAAAATGTCATTAAGTGTATGTCATTATCTTAATATGTCATTGTTTGAATTTAATAGAACTTGATGTTTCAAAAATGATACTTTCAAGCATAGTGTAAACTCCAAACTAAAGTATGAAAAATATACCCCAAAAAGATCACTCTTCTAAATGTGATCACCCTTCTAAATGTGATCACCCTCCTAAATAGGATTACCCTCCTAAATGTGATCAGCCTACTAAATGTGATCAGCCTCCTATATGTGGACAGCCTCCTAAATGTTATCAGCCTCCTAAATGTGATTACCCTCTTAAATATGAGGGCAATGAGTTATTAAATTTTTTTTTTCTGCTACCTTATAAATTTAAATTTATCGACAGGTTTTAAATGAAAAAATAAAAATGTTTTTGCAAAACATTCATGTTTGAAAAAAGTATAAACATACTTAAGCTTGGAGTTGTACAAAGTTAAAGTTTGCACAAAGTGACATTTCTAAAAAAGTCCTACCTACGCCACCAGTTTGATATTCGATTTACATATCTTTATGTATTTTATTTTAATAGAAGTATGCAAGAAATTTTTATTTTATCATTTTTATAAGCTTATAGCCTCCGTGCTGTTTTGGTGGTAAATTCCACTAATGATTTCGCTATTTTTATGTACCTTATAACATCATGAAAAGCTGGCCACTGAAGATGATTATAAACTCCTTTATATAGCTCTCCATGTAACCATCACTGACATCCGAAATAAAGTTATGATTTCTTTAAAGATTGAAAAATTTAAAAGTTTGGAAAATTGAATTCTCATTTAATAAAAGAAAAATTTAAGTTTTAGTAACACAATCGCAATGATTAAATAATATTCAAAAGATATTTATTTTTAAAATTGAATGAAAATAAAGAGAAAAAATAAACATTTATATAAATATTTGTACCTACCTCTAAAACCGCCTTTATTAAAAATAGTAGAACATTTTAAAATCAATTTCCCAAATCCGAGAAGCGAAACAATAAAAGTGGTTAGATTAGTTTGAAGAACTCAACTGTTTTACCATTCACGTAAGGAGTACTCAAAATAATATTAAATTTTAGAGAGTAGATGAAAAACCTATTACCTTGATTAGCTGTTGTCTCTTCTTCTTTCAGAAAGCTGCTGTTGTTATACAAAATTGATAATTTTTTTCTGATCTACTTTTGTAAAGCGTAGTTTCTTTTTTGATAGGAATAATTATACCTTTGTAAGTGTTCTTCATTTTCCTAACTTGGTCTATCTTGTTTTTGAAGCATTCAAATCATGTTTAACCAAACACAGAATAATATGTTTATTTTCTTCAACAATTGTTTCGACCTTCAGATAACGTATGATAAAATATTCGCTCTGATCCTGGAAAGCGGTTTTAGCAAACCTCTTTGGAAGCTATACCTCTGTCATATTTTTTTCGTAAATTACTTTTGTTTCCATAACTGAGGTTAGATATCTTTTTATTCATCATCTGAAACTGAAAAAAGGCCTCCGCGGTGCTCTGTGATAAGGCCGTAAGGACTTTTTGGGGCACCTAAAATAAATAAAAAATAAAAAAAATTAAACGAAAAAAAAAAAATGTAACTTCCTTAATCTCTTCTCCAGAAAGTAAAATTTTTTGCGGCTCAAAATTTAAATCAGTTTTCAGTCTTTAACTAAATTAAAACTTTTATCAGACCAAATTATACTTTTAGAATCTCTGTTTTTTTTTCGTCTCGGTTTTCGGTCCATACGAGTCCGAGACAAGATCCCGAACGAAACCGAGATAAAACCGAGATTTTTTTAAATATGTAAAAACTATGAAAATAAACTGAAATTTTCCAAAAAAGTTTTGTTTTATAATTTTTTATTATTGTTATATTATTGAACCATAAGTTTTCTACATTTATCAAATTAATGTTGACTCTTGAAAAAACTTTTAAAAAGACTAAGTCATTCAAAGTTCCCGCTGTCATTCTCTTCCGTTTCTTACTACGGTGGTTGTTTGAAATTGAAAAATTTTGTTCACATCGAATCGATGTTCGTTTGATTATTTTCAACGCATTTTCTAACATGCATAACTTTTCTCATTTGAATCCAGTCGTAACGTAGCTGTTAAATTCATCAGCAGTCAAATTATTAGGATCATTAACTTGGAATTGCTGTCGGGTATTGGATTCTCTTTTCTTTTTAGGTGGGTCTTTAAGCTTTGAAATAAAGTTTGAAGTTGTTCAACATTTTAAGGAAACGAGAAGACGTAACTTAGAATCATTGGGAGTCTGTTTGACTGTCTGAAGAGCTTCAGATGCAATTTCCACAACATCATCACTGTCATCATAGCTGGATGGAGTTAAAAAATGTTTAAGCCGGAGCCTTTTCGCTTCTTCAATATTTTTTTTATTTGATGAGAGCAAGGAACACTTTCAGCTCTTCAAGAACTTCTGGATTGTTGAGAAATTTGAGCAGACTAACAGTTAAGATTGGACGTCTTTTAAGAATCTCTATTTCAATTTCTTTAACCAAACGAGCACAAATAAAACTTTTCTTCGTTCGCAATTCCTCTAACAAAAATTCTAATGCGCCTTCTGCAATGTCAGCATTATTGCCAATTATGGTTGAAAAGTTGCTACTAATTCAGGAATCCTTGTCGCTGAATATTTAGGCCAATCATGTCCATTTAAGAGTTTTTTTTATAACTGGGATCATGTCTTTAAAATGGTCGTACTCAAATGCTTCCTCATCTTTCACGTTTTCTTCATCATAATTTGCTTCAGCTTTATTTTTGTCTTCATCTTCTTCTTCGTTTGTTTCTAAACTAAGCACACTTGGTGCATTGCAAAATCTCTGAGATGTACATGCTAACATGTCACTTTCTGTACCTGATTCTTCTTCGCTTTGGTCGGATAATAAATTCTTATTTGCTCGATTGATATCTGTAATTATCTTTTTACGTTTTAGTACCGAGATGTCCAAGACGAGCGAGATCTGAAAGTATAGGGCCAAAAACCGTCTGGGTAGTCACTAACAATGACAAGCTGGTTAGAATTAATAACTATCTGTTCGGACAACTGACAAATTTTTTTTCATCTTTTAAAGATTTTTCTTGCTTCAAAATTAACGAAATGATATGTGTGATCTACACAAACCTTTAACTATAACGCTGTTCAAGAAAAGTAAAGAATTGTGGAGTACGCCAGAAATTTTAAAAGCAGATAAAAAGATAAGATTAAAACTTAGGCACAAACAAAAGTAGCTGGTCAAAAGACGCAAAATCCATCAGAGAAAGGCAAAAGGCAACTTGCAAAGAACTAATTAAAGTTATAAGATTAGCAGTTTTTGCGTATAATCGTAAAATTGCAGCTTTCAACTTCGATTCAAAACGTATTCATAACAAAGTCAAATAGAAACAAATGGCAAACAAAATACTCAAGTCTCAGAAAGACAACAATGAAAAACTAACAATAAACAGGAATAAGATTTTTTATTCACCAAATAATTTTTTTTAGTCTGCATTTGTTATTGACCGTTGAATCAGATGCCAACTTATGAAAACTAGACAGAAGCTGATTGCTTCCTAAGTAAAGCAAAAATAACAAGTAAATCTGTTTAAAAAAAGCTAAAAGAACTCGCTGAGATAACTTCTATGGCATACATCTAAAGTGTCTTCTTAAAACCGTCTCTATTTAAAAGCGGAGGCAAAAGAAAACTTTCGAATTACTGACTAGTTTCTTTTTTATCGATACTCTGAATGATAATGGAAAGCTTCATACACAAGAGAATCATGACATTTTTGAGTCCTAGGTCCACTTCTGTTTCCCATCTATATATAAGACAACAATTGAATATAACTTGGAATAACAACTTCAAGGTCAAGCATTAAGCAGTGGCTGTTGGAGCAAGAGTTGGCTTGCTCTACTTGGTCGCCAAAAAAAAATAATAAAAAAAATAAAAATAAAAAAGTATGATAACAAACTAGCCATACTTGGTTTCACCACTCTAGAAGAGAAGCAATGAAGTGATGACCTGATTCAACAATACATCGTTGCGAAGGAGTAGAAAAAGCTGACTTCGTAGTTCTACAAGTACAGACGCAGTGCTCTCAGAGCTCAATCTGCGTGGACAGAGTCGACAACTAACTCGTCAAATTGTCAAGAACGGAATAGTTTTTTACAAATTGAGTCGCTGCGATTGTTGTCGGATTTATGTCAACAAAATGATTCTCAATACTGTGCATCTCTTTCATTGAATCACAAATCAAAATTTTAGTTTAACTATGTAGTTTATTTTCTTGTTATTTTAAATTTTGATTTCAAAATAAACTAATACATTTATTTCCAAAATTCTTTTTCTTTATACGGGGAAGGGGGAGGGGGTTATAAACCTCCGCAACCGTGAAGCATGCCTTCCAGAACATTCAGACTGTTTACCGAAGAGCTGCGATCTCGTCAGATATCGTATCCGATATATTGATATCTTAGAACTGCTTCTAAATACTTTAATATAAAGTTTATCATGGCTCTTCCAATACCTAAATCTCTTTTACAGTCAATGATGAAGGAAGGTGCAAAGGTAAAGCATATTTGTCTTATTAAAAGATGATATACCTAGTTATATATATATAAGGATCTCCAATTATTACATTTTTTTAATAACATAAAAACTAAAAACCTTCATTTCATTCACAGTTGCATTAGTAATATGCTCTCTATCATTACATAATGGTTTATTCCATTATTAAATGCCTATACCCAATCTACTAGACTGTCTCAAAAAAGTGGGTTGTGTGCTCAAGGTTTATACTAAATTCTATGGTTTATATTCCTTTAAGAAATCTGCAATTAATGACTGGAATTTCCTACATAAAAATTTAAATAATTCTCAGTTTTGTGAACAAGTTAAAAAAAGTGTTTAGAAAACAAACTTAACTTATTATTCTTAAATTCACTTAATTAGATACAATAGTTTTCCAATAGCGTTATAAGAACATATACATACATGTATATATTCTGTTCTGTTTTTTGTTTTGTTTTCATTCATTCTTTTTTATTTTATTAATATTTATTTTTAATTTTAACAAACACACTTTAAATTTAAAATGCTGACTTTGAACCAAATGGTTTTTAAAAAAAAAGATAAAAAATTATAAAAAAATTTTTTTTTTTTAAGCCATAAAATTGTATGTAAATTGCACTTGTCTAAACCTTAATCCACAGTTGATAGCAGCCTCCTCAGGTAAGGCTAGTTTAGCGATTCCAGAGTGCAATGAAAAACATTCTATTTTTTACAAAAAGCGTAATTTTCATAAATTTTACTTTCTTATATCTTTTTTAATAATAAAGCTAGAACCTTAAGGTTTTTTGCATCAATTAGTTTAACTCTACTTCTTTCTGACCATATATAGAAAGTACAGTGTTTATTATGGCTTTTATATATTATTCATGTCTTAATACTACTAAAATACTAATAATAAAGACTTCTAACGGGACACATTTTTTTAAAAGTAGTTTTTGAAGGTAAGATTTCCTAAGTACCAAAATACATCAAATTTGTTTGAAAATTTACATATAGATTAAAAAAAGGATAAGGAATCTAATGGAATAAAGAATTTTTTTAACATTTGTACATAATTATTAAATTCTCAGCATTTAAGGTTGGTTTATTTAAAAAAAAAACTTTTCTAAAAAGTTTCCTAGAATAGCTAGCTAGTTGCAAAAATATTTTTAGATTAATCAGTTAAAATATAAAGACAATTTTAACTAAATTATTCTAACTAAACATTCAAGAAAAATTGTGCAAAAAGGTTTTTTAAAGTAATAATAAATAAAATATAGCATTTTGCAGAGATACCGAGACCTAGAAAGGACCCTGGATTTAAAAGTCACAAAATAATTATTTCTTCCCAATTTCTGGTACAAAAATGTAAAGAGGTCTATGGACTACCTTTGTTAAAAAACTAAGACTTTTGGGTTGGTTATATCAAAATTTACAATTAGCAAATTTTCGATTGAAAGGATTTGATTGAAAGAAAAATATGTAGAATTTCTTTTCTAATTAAATTTTATCAAATTGAGAAAAAAAAAAAAATGCCAGCCCAATGGCACTTTGTATCCTGTAGAATTCCCAAATGGCTTGAAATTCCCAATAGGATTAAAACTCCCAAAATTCAATGCCTTTTTTTTTTTAATGTGGGTAAAAAACATGTTCCTAGCTATCACCCTGTAAATGAACATGATTATTCATAAATGCTTCTAGCCTTAAAGAATAATGCTGATTTTGGTACATTTTGTTGGCACTAATAAATGAAATATATGTCTATATATTGAAAGTTTCAAGTTAATTGGACTTGTAAATCTTGATATATCTCTGTCCCAAGTATAATGTACATACAGAAAAAACTATTATTCATAAATAACTAACTTTAGGTTATACCAAAGTAAAAAGCTCCAGATAAAAAGGATTTAACTTTCTCAGTTTTCTCTTTGTCAAATAAGCTTTTTTTTATATTTCCAAGTTTATTTTGTCTTGCAAGTCCCAGTTTACTAGTCAGAGGCTATTCTAGGAAAATAATTTGGGCAATGGTACCTCCACATGTCGGCGCCTGTTGTAAGGAAATTTGGCAGAAACAGTGTCATATGTAGGCATTTTTTATGAAAAAAATTATTTGCCATAAAAAAGTTTCTAAATTTGGGCTGAGTTTAAATATGGTTGACACTGTTAAAAACAATTTAGAATAGCCCCTGATATATATATATATATATATATATATATATATATATATATATATATATATATATATATATATATATATATATATATATATATATATATATATATATATATATATATACTATACTTTCTTTTACTAAATAAAACAACAAAATTTTTATTTAAATCTCATTTGCATAATTGAAACACTTCCCTCTGTTCCAAGTAAAGGGGAAAAAATAATAAATGACCTTTGGACCATTTAAGGGGACTCAGGAAGTGTGTGAGAAGTTTGAAGATACCGAATTAGAGACATTACTTGATGAAGATCCATGCTAGACACAGGAAGAGCTTGCAGAAACATTGGGAGTCGATCAATAGTTTCTAGGTGCTTGAAATAACTGGAAATAATTCAAAAGTTGGGTTCTGTGTGACTTGAAACCGAGGGACATCAAAAGACAATTTTTTTCCTCCAAACAGCTGCTCGCGCAACAATAAAGAAAAGGTTTTCTGCATCAAATTTTTACCAGTGATAAAAAGTGAATACGTTACAATAACCCTAAACACAGAAAAGCATGGGTAACTGTCAATAGACAGTATTTTAAATGATCTGAGTCTGATAGTCTTCTCAAAATAAATAATTGATTTATTTAAAAAACGCTCATTTTCAGTACAATCTACCTATAGTAAAATTAATTTATTATTTATGTAAAAGTTACACTGATTCAATTGGTTTTTGATAATATATTTTTTTGCTTCTTATGTTTAATTTAATAACATTTGTAATAATAAATCTTAAGAAAATGTTTTATTTTTGTAGTCATATAGGGGACTTGAAGAAGCAGTGTACAGGAATATAAGTGCTTGTCAGGAGCTTACTAAAATATTACGTTCTTCTTATGGACCAAATGGTATGTTGCAATTTTTATTTGTTTATATATTATTAATTATTATTGTAAATAGCATGTTGTTTATATTGAGATTTAGATACTGTCATAATAAAGTTTAGATTTGTTTTTGTTATCATTAACTATTAAATTAGTTAACAATAACAAAAGTTAAAATTTTTCTTAATCACATTAAAGTATGCACAATGCAATAAGTTTTGGCTTAATAGCTTTTTCTTAGTTGCTGTCTAATACTTAAGTATTATTTTTGTTTAGTGGTTTACTACCTAATATTTTAGAAGCAAAGGTTATAAAAAGTATATAAAATTAGAAAAAATTTAAAAAACAAAACTTTATTTTCTTTTAGCAAATAAATGATGTGTGTTGATAAGATAAACAAAAAACGATTGTAAATAAATAATAAAATAACTACATCTTTATAACTTTGTTTCATCATAATTACTAACTACAATCGGTAATTTTAAATAATACAGTTTCTCTGAAAGATAAAAATATGTCATTAACCATTTTGGTTATACTTGTTCCATTCGGTTTTTGATCATTTTATATTCAATTATTTTTATTAAAGCAATTTCAAACCTTCGAGACATGTTGCATTCATATCAAAAAGAATGATAAAAAAAATGTTTGAGCTAAATTTTTTAAATTAAAACAAAAGAATAAATGAATACCAAGAAAAACTAACTTTTTTTATTTTAGTCGATGCTCGCCTTCTCCGTTTTATTGTAGTCCTAAAAGTAAGCATAATATACACTACAATTTACAGACTTGATCATTTATTCAAGCATGTTCTATTCCTAACAGTTTCAGTACATGGCGTCATTGACTTATTTGTTTGTTTATATAATTGATCTCTTATGCAAACAATAAAAAATCAATGACATCGTAACATTCTATCAATAAAAAAAGAAGTTTATCACCTTTTAAAATCACTAATTCTATTAATATTTGCTAATTTAAAAATGTTAATATTAACATGTACAGTTGATTCCTGGTAAGTTGACTGGTTTACTCTAACTATTGTTATCATTAACTTTTTTATATTCCTTTAAAAGCAAAAACTTTTTTATTTTGCTTAAATTGAATAGTTGTTTTGTCAAACCATTTTCCTTGGACCAAAAAAAGTTATTTTTACTTTGTAATTAATGGAAGAAAAAAAATTTTCTTTTTCTGAGAAAATAAGTGAGGCATGGCTTCTGGTGCCCCAGCCCTGGACACTCTGGTTGTCTGCTCTGAAAACAATTTTAACACACCTTCATTAGGACTACACAAATGCTGAAAGTTTCAGGGCTTCAGTTTTTCTGGAAGGTAGTGAAAAGTCTATCGCAATATTCTGTTATAAAAAAGTGGGCACATGCCTAGCCCCCTCCTCTGTTATCTTGGGCCCTGGATACAATTTAAACAATCATGTTTATTGGCACTGAAGAAATACCAAAAAGTTTCAGCTAGTCTAGGTAGTGAAAATTCAATCGTAATATTCCGCTGCAAGTGGGAAGCGAGAAAGTAAAAAATGGTAAGCATGCTTCACTATCTATATAACTCCATATACTTGCAGATCAAAATCCTTATATTTTCTAAAAGATCAATGAATATATAATAAGGATTTTTGATATCATCAAGGTTTCTTGAGCATTTAAAACAGATATATAAAAAGTTGCCTAAATTAATTATAATTACATTTCTGATCAATTTATTGATTTACCACCCTTGAAAATTGCCAGTTACAAATTTTTAAGTAAAAAAAAAATCAATTATTTTTAAAGTTATGTGACTTAAAATCTCTAAATGTTGTGATTCTAAGGGGACAATATCTGCTAAAAGTAAAATAGTCGTATTTCAGGATCTTCTTGGAGCTAGATGCTAAAATTTTTAACTCTTATTTTATTAAGTACTCTTAACTGTATAAAAATCAGCAAAATCTGAGATATATGGTAACTTTTTTTTAAATTTCTGGGTCATTTGTCATGATTATAAATTACTCAAAAGATGATTTTTTTCAGTCTTGAAATTGTTTTTAACAAAAGTTTTTCCATTATCGTTAATTTCTTAGATTAACCATAGAATGATCTTTGGTTAGAAATCAACTAGTTTGAAGAATGAACTTCAATTAGAAATGATTAACTAGTTTGTAAGTAGTTAGCAAAGATTTTGTTCAAAAAGCCAAAATGTTAAAAAAAATTGTTTATAGTTTTTATTTTCTAACTACTAAATAAAACTATAAAATAGTATAAAATTGAAAATATATTTTGAAGGGGCGATTTAAGCAATCAAGAATTGTGATGAGCCATAATCATATAGCAATTTTTAAAGTGTATAATTTAAAACAATTGCTAATTTTTATATTTCAAGTCAAATGTTTTAATGAAAAAGTTTTAATCATGTTTTAAAACAATGCTAATACGAAGTAACCTAGTCAGACATCTTATAGATAACTGATAAACTCGATCGATAGTTTGTTTTATTGTTCATGAAAAAAATAAGTAATTGACCATTAAGAACTTCAACCATAACTTTATTTAAAAAAAACAACTAGATTGTGAGAAAGCAAACCTAAGACGATAATGTTGTGTTATAAATGTTTTAAGAAATAAATAGTATTAGTATAAGTTTTTTAAAATAAAGAAATTTACTTAGAATCCAATACTTAAAAATAGACTGACATAATTTAACTTTTAATGATGTAAATTATGAATATTGATTTAAGTTACAACAAAATCTCATAAGATGGCTTGCAGATATAAAAATCTGTATTACACTTACATGTAAAACTTTTGTGCATTACTGAGCCACTTGATCAAAACAAGTTAACGCTGAATAGATTTTTGTTTGTTTTATCAGTGAGATCGAAAGTCAAAGCAAAATATATTTATTAAAAAAAACACTAAAAAGTGACTTGAACAATGTTGTTTAAATATTGTGTAAATTATGGACTAATTTATAAATTATAAGTTATTAATAAATCATTTTTTATTTTTTATAGGAATGAATAAAATGGTCATCAACCATCTTGACAAACTTTTTGTTACTAGTGATGCTGCTACACTATTAAAAGAGCTTGAGGTACAACACCCAGCTGCTAAGTTACTTTTATTTGCTTCACAAATGCAAGAACAAGAGATAGGAGATGGGACTAATTGGGTTCTTATATTTGCAGGTGCATTGTTGGGAAGTGCTGAAGAACTTCTAAAAATGGTACTTACCTACACAGAGGAACTTTGTTTCAATTTAATTTCAATTATCTTTATATAGTTATCTTATTTTGGATTATTAGTTTTTTCTAATTTTTTTTTATGTGATGTTGCAGCTTGTTTTTTTAATGTATATATGTATATATATATATATATATATATATATATATATATATATATATATATATATATATATATATATATATATATATATATATATATATATATATATAACGTGCTAAAAAACTCGCTATCAGGTGACAGTTGTGTTAGGGTAACTATTTGTTGTCACCCTCATGTTTCAATTTTAATTGCTTTTTGCTTGCACATTATAAATAAAACTTTACCTAGCTTTAGATATCTATTTAAATAATTTAAAAAATAAATTTTGCTAAAAACTAAAAATTTTTTTTTGTGAGATGAAAAAAGCAGTTTTAAGAGTGTTTATTGCATAAAATTTGCATACAAATACCATATGTTGACAGTTTGTACTTTTGATAGTTTTTTAGTGTTTTTTTTTTTTTTTTTTAGTATATATTATTATTTTTATGATTAAAAACAATAATTTAGGATTTAGTTGACTATATTTAATAATTTTCAAAACATTTAGCACAAAATGTGTATAAAATGTGTGACTAAAAAATAAAATGTGAAAGGTAACACTTTTTTTTGTATATCACTGTGGGGAAGTGTGATAACTTTAATTTCAATAGAATATGCTCAAAGGAGTAGTTATAATGAGTGAAGTCATAATAGAGCGCGCGCGCACACACACACACACACACACACAAACACAAATACACATATATACACACATATATATATATAAAACCTTATAAAGAAAATCATGCAGTCGTGCCTCACATATTGCCACCCAATCCAAGTGCTACATTGAAGTTGTGATGTGAAAAATTATTAGCTTCAAAGTACTAATTGAGACATTTTTAAATTGAAAAAATATAAGGTTTAAACTATAAATTTTGAGTTAAAAAAAATTTTTTTTTAGATGCTTTTATTTTTTCTGGTTTATCTCTTGTTTGTTTTATTATTTGTTAAGATTTTGTTTATTTTTATAGTTTATGGTTTGTTTATTTTTATTTATCTCTTAAGTTAAGTCTTATTTTTTCAGCACATTTTTAAAACATGCAAGTGTTTTAAAAATATCCCCTAAGAAGCCTTTATATATATTGTTTATACATAATGGTATTTTAACATTTAAAATATGTCTGTTTTTATATATAGTCATTATAATAATTTTTAGGGTATGTCTCCTGCTGAAGTAATTGAAGGATATGAAATGGCATGTAAAAAAGCTTTAGAAATTTTACCCGGTAAATTTATTTGTTATAAGCTAAAGTTTTTCTAACCAATATAAAATAAAAGCAAGTCAAACAGATCACACTATTTTTTTGACCACTGATTTAAAAATATAAATAAACCGGAGAGGATAGGATTATACTAAAAAATAAAAAACCAGAAGAAAGAGAATCATCTTTTTTAGAAGAAAGAGAATCATCTTTTTTAGAAGAAAGAGAATCATCTCTTTTAGAAGAAAGAGATTCATCTCCTATTTAAATATTTAAAAATACAATCCTAGTTTTTCAATCTTTTAATTTTCATAAAAGTTTAAAACATAGTTGTAAATGTTTTTATTTTCTATCCTAATAACAAAGAAACCTAAATTTGTTTAAATATTTTTTCCCCTATCTTGTAGAAAATTGAAATTTAATACTGATTCCATAATGTTTTTCATTTTATAGTTAAAAATCAGATAAAAAAAGTCAAGGAAATTAATATTCAATTTTTTCTGGTAAAACTGATCATTTACATATTTTCTTAAAGTTCCTATATCAAGTACTTATGTGAAGTTTTATATCAAGTACTTATGTGAAGTTTTATATCAAGTACTCATGTGAAGTTTTATATCAAGTACTTATGTGAAGTTTTAGATTATTTACTTATGTGAATTAAATGATTGGATTTTCTCATTTATTAGTTCTGGCTTAATTCTATATAAAGTTCAAATATGACTAAATTTTATTAATTTTCAAGATGTCAACAAGTAAAAGGTTGTACAAGAAAGAAGATTAAATGTTAAATGAGATTATAAAATTTTTAAATTAGGAAAGCTGAATTCGAACATAGCATTCCATTCTTCCCTCTAATAGGTCACAAGAACAACAATACAAGTTACAAGAGATCATGATCGTTAATATATATATAAGTTTTCAAAATTAAATTTATTTTTTTAATTGATAGACTGCCTGGCCAAACCAAACCCTCAGTCGATGTAGCAACACTCTCTTGCGAGTCATGCTATTTGTCAGTCGTTGTAGCAGCACTCCCTTGCGAGTCAGGCTATTTGTCAGTTGATGTAGCAGCATTCCCTTGTGAGTCAGGCTATTTGTCAGTCGATGTAGTAGCACTCTGTTGCGAGTCAGGCTATTTGTCAGTCGATGTAGCAGCACTCCCTTGCGAGTCAGGCTATTTGTCAGTCGATGTAGCAGCATTCCCTTGTGAGTCAGGCTATTTGTCAGTCGATGTAGTAGCACTCTGTTGCGAGTCAGGCTATTTGTCAGTCGATGTAGCAGCACTCCGTTGCGAGTCAGGCTATTTGTCAGTCGATGTAGCAGCACTCCGTTGCGAGTCAGGCTATAAGATAGTCGATGTAGCAACATTTACGCATGTTTTAAAAATGTTTTTTATTAAATCAATAACAAAAACACCACTAATTAAAAAAAAATTTCTAGTCGTTATAATTGCGGTTTTTTAAAAATTTTTTAAAAAACAATTAAATTTAATGTACTTCCGCATAAATTAATTGCTTTGACATTTCGATGACAATCAAAAACAGCTTAAGAGACGAGGTAATTAAAATTGTAGTCGTAAGAGACTTTTTTTACATTAAAACGCTCTTTCGACTACACTATATGGGTATATATATATATATATATATATATATATATATATATATATATATATATATATATATATATATATATATATATATATATATATATATATATATATATATATATATATTAGATGATTTTTCTACTTCAATTAAAATTTGGAATTACTTCTGTTGTTTAAACAAAGAATGAATGATAAAAGTTATAAGCAGGGCTGTGGAGTTGGAGTTGCAGAGTTGCCACATTTTTAGCGGAGGAGTCAGAGTTGCTAAAAAAAATCAAAAAAATTTTTTTATCACGTAATATTTTTTGAGGAATTCAGTGAACTTTTCAAAAATTTTGCTTTGGTGTTGCAATCGTTCTCTAAAAATTTCAATAACCGGAGTCGGTACTTTTTTTTTTACGACTACATACCCCTGGTTATAAGTGCTTTATACAAATAATAACACTATTATAGTGTTATTACTTTTATAATGCAGTTAGTGACGAAAGTGTTATTATTTTTCTAGTCGTAAGTTTGAACAGCCGTGGCGTAGTGGTAGAGCACTTGCCTCAGAAACAAAGGATCCGAGCATTTAACACCACCTCCAGGCAAGTTTTGCAACAGAGGTGAGAACTTCCTATTAAATGCTCATCCATGGTGCTCTGTGATAAGACGTAAGGACTTCTTGGGTCATCTAAATAAAATTATTAAATTAATAAACTTTTTGTAAAAAATAAAAACGGATGAAGAAATAAAAACTAATTTTTTAAAATTTAGATAACTTTTTTAATCAATGTTCTTTCTTAATTATAAGGAAATTTCTGTTTTTACTTTTTTAATATTGCACAATCTGTTATTTTTATAAAGCTGTAACTATTTTAAAATATTATTTTTCTAATCAATTATTTTTCACAAAATAAAACTTATAAATATAAACAAAGACATGGTAGAAGCTATATTTTTCAAGTGTAAATTCAAGCAAAAAAATTAACAATAGTTATATCCATAAAAAAAGTTTTATTTATTTTTATTATTTTTGTTATAAAAAAATAAACTCATTATCAGATTTTGTTTAAAGTTTGTAATAATGTTTTTTCATTTTTTTGATAAAAAGAAAAAACATTTAGTTATAAAATATTTATATCAAAACAAATAAAATTTAAGATATTAATAGTGGAGCTAATATAAAATAAAATTTAACCTGTACTATTATTTAGCTAATATATATGTTTCAATTATTTTTGTTATTGTTTGTTATGAGAAATTGTCTAAATAAATAAGAGTAAGAGTTTTTGGAGCACTTAGGAACAGAAAAAGGATGAGACTTAATTGAATGACGAGTAACACAAGAATGAATTTTAGTAGATGGCACAAAAGACGCTAGCTCTTTAGAGTAGTGCCCATTGTAGAAAAGAGAAAGAGAAGCAACGCTAATATTAAATGTAATTATCATGCAAACTTCTTTATTATTACGTTAAATAATTCTTTTATCTTACAGCCTAAATAATTTCTTTGAACTTGTTTAAATATTAAAAAATGATAAAAAATGTCTTATGTTTAATGGCTGAGTATGTACTTAAAATATCGCGCCAGTATGCGCTTAAAAACAAGGCCTGTGTTAGCATCATAATAAAAATATCGGAATATATAGTTATTTTTTTAGTAATTCTCGGTAAGTCAAACACCATTTAACTCAATCTCAAACTGTTTGTCATCATAATAAAACTGTTTTAAAAAAATTATTTTATAGTTTAATGAATTCTAAATAAGAGACCGCTACCTTTTAGACGCAATTTAATTACTAAATAATATGGAAGTCGTTATGTTGCTAAACTTTTTTGAATGTTATTTTTAGACTGAACTGCAAAAATACAATCCATAACTTCATTCATTGAAACATTAGTATAATGCTGTAAAGTTAATGCATATACTTAGTATTGATTAAAAAAAAAATGGCTTTAACTTGAACTTAAATTATGACTTGAACTTATCTAAAATCAACCATAGTTAGACAACAGGCATTCCCTTTAGTCAATAATTTGTTAATTCAAACCTTTTTGTTTGGTCCCTTTGAGGTTTAAGTTATCTGGAATTAACTGTATGTTTATGTGTGGGTTGATTTTAGCTAATATTTATATAAAAATAGATAAATATAACATAACACATATTGTTATATATATTACATATAAAGTTACATTTGAGATTATATATGATATTATAAATCTAATAACATTCATATAAATAACGGTACGTAAGTAAAATAACAAATAGATTTCAAAAATAATGCTGAATGTTTTTGTATAAAAGTATTTTGTTTTGAAATATGAAACATTTCCCACAATATTTGAAAACAGTTCTGTTACGAATGGCGCAAATGATTAGATAATAAATTTATCGAAAACTGCAGCTGATAATATAGAGTAAATATAATACAAACGAGAGTCATTTTCAATACATTTGTCATTGTCGCAACCAAACTATAATTTATTTAAAAAACATTATTACTTCTTGTTAAATACGATTGTATAATGTGCACAAAATGTGTGACAAACTTTATCACTTTTTTTTTTTTTTTTTTTTTTTTTTTTTGTAGTAAAAAAAACAAAATTTTTTAATTATAAAACAGAAGAAAAAAAAATTTTTATTTGTGAGTTGCATGCAAACTTAAAAGACTGTCACAATGTGGTTATGTCTCAAAGCTCAACAAATGTTCTCAAGTTAAAGTTAGGCGAAAATGAGCTCTAGTTTTTGTGCACAAACAAGTTTTGTAGTAAATATTGGCTTAATTTTAATGCCAACTCTAGCTTGCAGTTTGCTTCATGGATTATCTTTTTCCGATATTTCCAGAATTGCAAATATTTTTCTTAACTTTTAGTTTTCCAGATATCCAAAAAATTCTCCATACATACAAGTTTAAGTGTATATTTTCATAATATATATATTTTTAAAGATTTTTCACTCATTACTTATAAAAGTTAAAAAACAGACAAAAAATTGAAACAACTCAGCTAAAAGCAAAATTAAGAGGAAAATACGGAAATTCTGGATTTTTTCTGGATATTTTGCCATAACAATTTTCCGGATTTTTTAAAAATGACTTGGATAATCTATGGTTTGCTTATAAAATATATATTTTAATTTCATCAAAAAGTACATCAAAAAATCTTTCCAACGATACCAAATATGTTGCCTTTTTTTTTTTCCTTTAAACTAAATATTAACTAAAACCTAAATACAGGTTTAGCTGAAAAAAACCTGGTTTCCTGCCTTAGTACACTTAAGCATGATAGGCATCTGTTCGTAAAAAACTGCTTCTTAAAATAAAATTAATGTCCTTTAATTCTGAAAAAGTCTTAGCAAAGCAAAGACCTAAATGTAAATCATGTAGTGTGAAATGCATCATGTCTATTCCCAAATAATAATGTTAACAAAAATAAAATTATTGATTAGATCATTTTGGCCAGCTGGTTGATGTCCACCCAAACAACTGATTCTGTCAAAGATCATTTTAAAAATTTTACAAAATTTGTTTTATAAATAAATGAGGAAGACTTCGGTTAATTCAATAGCTTTTAAATGCCCCTAGATAAGTTTCTAATGCATTATTTGATTGGGAACAAACATTTCGAATTATTAAGTCAAGCTTTTATCTATAAGATAAAGTTTTCACTTTATCTTATAGTAAAATATGTTAAGTAGTGACAGCATGTTGATTTTAGTGTTGACAAAGAGCTTTTTATAGAGAATATGCAAGAAATTCTTTGGATAGTCTGTGCACTGTTTATAGCCATGAACGTTTTAGCATTCATTCAGAAAAATTTTATTCCATAGATTTCTTGATTATATCTGATTCCATGGATATATTGCCTATAGGGGAAAAGTAAAAGAAAAGCAATCTTTTATTATTGTATTGTAAAATTAGAGACATTTAAAAGTCATTTAAGCTAATTTAAGTTTTAGTCATTTCATATTTTGAAAGTAAGTTTTTATTGAGCACTGAATATTTTACCCTAGTTATTTATCATAGAAATTAAAAAATATTAAGATATAGAATTTTAATAAAAAATAAAATATAAAGTCATAGAATTTCATTTTGGCCACCTGAGCAGCCATCTTGTTTCTTACTTAATATTACCAAGACACAAAATGCAAAACAAAGAAAATTTTAATTAATAGCGTGCTGTTGCATTCTCCTCCTGACCAAAACTGCAGTGGGCACACTTAAAGTAGCCTCCTCAACTGTCGTGGCCTTTGTAGCCTTGAGGAGGTCAATTGAAATGGAAAAAAAAATATTTCAAACTATATTTTCCTCAAATTTAATTAAAAAATGTAACTGATTCCAAATTAATATCAGGTTCAATTAAATTAAAAAACTTAGCAACCATTTCTTTAGAATCTAAGGAGCCCAGTTACTTTTCATCAAATATGTATGTCAAATAATATAGGTGTGTGTGTATACCACATATACTTTTGTAGATTTAGTTCAACACTGTCAATATTATCAGTATCTAAATATATCAAGTATCATATAAAGCAAAAAAAATAATATCAGCAATTGTCAATCAATTGTCAATGTGAATGTGTACATTATGATTATAAGAGTTATTTTCTCTATAAAACACGTCTCCGTTTTGTTTTTTGCCATAAATGCGCGCAAACTTGTAAAGCAGGTGTGTAAATGATGGTTTTTGTTGCCTAGCTTTCTATTTTTGTTAAAATAAAAGCAGAATTTTGTAATAATAAACTTATATTTTAGGGGGCACCAGTTTACCGGCTTAGAGAGCGCGGGGAGGCACTTCCCTCCTCCCACACGCCACGCCCTATGCTGAATTTGCTCTTTATGTTTTAAACTGCTGAATTAATTTCAGACTGAAAAAATTTTAAACTTCAGAAAATTATTTTACAATTTATTTTTTTTTTCTCACTAGACTTAGTCAGTTATACTGTAACTAACCTAAGAGATGTTAAAGAAGTAGCAAGCGCTATAAAACCAGTTTTGTCAAGTAAACAGGTGGAATTTTTAATTTTTTTTATTATATATATAATTTTTCAATATTGTAAATTATAATTTATGCTTTATAATTTCAGTATGGAAATGACAGTTTCTTATCAGATCTGATTGCCAGAGCTTGCTGTAAGTACTTAGTATGGAGTCAAAATTGCAAGTTTTTTTAATTTTTGAATTTCTTTCTAATTTCATATTTTATTTCTTAATTCTTCATTTATAATGGAAGGTTTGAAAGTATGTTTCAACAACTGTAAACATAATATTTAAAGTATAATTACAGAGGTAGAGCACCTGGCTTACAATTTTGAGGTTCAAATCCACCATATTCTTTTGAAAGCACCTCACACAACCTGTTTCTCTGTGCAATGGTCTTGTTTAACAAGGCTTGTGGTAAAGAGAAAGAGTTGCCAATAAAATCTACTTAAAATTTAGTTGCCTTCTTGACATGGCTACACTGGATTCTTGGAAATAAATGTGAATTTACTTTTAAAAAGTCATTTAAAAAAACAAATTCAATAAAAATTTATTAAAAAAATTAAAACCTAATTCAATTAAAAAAAAAATCCTTTTATATTAAAAAATAAAATGTTTGAAACCAAAGATAGTTTTAAGGTAACTTATTCTAAATTTCTAGTTGTAATTTTTTCAGACTATATTTATATGCTTTTCAAATTAACTGTGTTTATTCCACCAATCAAAACCATTTTCTATTTTAAATTCTAAATGTATAATTTAAAGTTAAAGTTAATTTCGATAAAAAAGAATTGAAACTTTTATATTAAAAACTTTATATTAAAAAGATATTTTAATTTAAAATGCTACTTTATTTGAAAATTTGTCAATGTTACATACATTGAAAAAATTAAATTGAAACTTCATTTAATCTTTTGGAATTAGTTAAGGTGTAAGGAGCATAGAAAAAAAGAAACTTTAGATAATAAGAATTTTCTAAACTTTAGAAAATCATATATTTTTTGCAGGCACAGTTTGGAACGCTTTTATCTCATAAAGCATTTCTGCCTCTCAAAACTCCTGAACTCATCTGAGAAGCCATATTAAAAGTAAAAAAAAAAAAAAAAATGGAGGTCTGGGTTTTAAAACCAAAATTTTTTTAAGAGTAAAATTTATAGAATCAAATAGCTTTCTCAAATGTAGAAGCCATTCTAAACCTTGTTGATATAAATAGCATTAAAATATTTATGATTTTTATGTACGGCTGTGCGGTTAATAAAATTTTTGTAGGTATGTCATAAATTATATATATATATATATATATATATATATATATATATATATATATATATATATATATATATATATATATATATATATATATATATATATACACACACACGAGGTGTGTTCAAAAATTAAGGTGGTTTTTCAAATTTTGCGGGCAACGTACTTTCGATTATCGATTTTTTTATTTTGTCATGTTGGTACACTCTTCCCGAACATCTGTACCAAGTTTCAAGTGTAGGCGTAAAGGTTATAAGTGTTTTGCGTGCTCGGTGATTTTTTGCTGTTAAAAAATATGGATCAAAGGATTTGCATAAAATTTTGTGTAAAAAATAAAATAAAGTGCTCCAAAACACTTGAAATGTTGAAAGTGGCATACGGTGAAACTGTTCTGAGTAAAAAAAATGTTTACAAGTGGTACAAACTCTTTCAAGATGGCTGGGAAGATGCCAATGACGAGCCTCGCTCTGGTCGCCCAACCACGTCAACAACTGATGAAAACGTTTAAGCAGTGAAGAAAATTGTTTTGGAAAATCATCGAATCACTATCAGAGAAGTTGCTGAGGATGTTGGTATATCGCTTGGCTCATGCCATGAAATTTTTTCTAACGTTTTGGACATGAGACGTGTGTCAGTAAAGTTTGTTCCAAAATTGCTCAATTTTGACCAAAAGAACCGCCGCATGAGCATCTCTCCAGAACTGTTGAATGACGTCAACGAGGACCCAGATTTACTCAAAAGGGTCATAACTGGTGACGACTCATGAATATATGGTTATGATATTGAAACCAAAGCCCAATTGTCCAATGGAAGAGCTCAGGTGAGCCAAGACCGAAAAAAGTACGCCAAGTTCGATCAAATGTCAAAGTTTTGCTCACTGTTTTTTTCGATTACCATGGCGTGGTGCATCAGGAGTTCTTACCATATGGTTGTACGGTCAATAAACAGTATTATCTTGAAGTTATGCACTGTTTCGAGAAGCAATATGAAGAAAACGTCTAGAATTGTGGAAAAACAATTCATGGCTTTTGCATCATGATAATACCCCTGCTCACTCATCTTTGCTTGTGAGAGAATTTTTGGCCAAAAAAAAACACCGCAATCATGCCTCAGCCACTATATTCACCGGATTTGGCCCCATGTGACTTTTTCTTGTTTCCAAAACTAAAGAGACCTATGAAAGGACGGAGATTTGCAACGATTGAAGAGATAAAGACTACATCGCTGGAAGAGCTCAAGGCTATACCGAAAAGTGCTTATGAGAAATGCTTTAAGGATTGGAAAAACTGTTGGCATAAGTGTATTGTATCTGAGGGGGATTACTTTGAAGGGGACAAAATAAATATTGATAAATAAATAAATATTTTTTCTTAAAAATATAAAGTCACCTTAATTTTTGAACACACCTCGTATATATATATATATATATATATATATATATATATATATATATATATATATATATATATATATATATATATATATATATATATATATATATATATATATATATATATATATATATATATATATCTTTTGATCTTATCATACAAAAATCCTTTTAAAAAATTAATACTTGTATTTAGATAAGTTTTTAAAGTTAAAAAAAAAAATTTAAAAAAATTCACTTGCAACAATGCTGCTGACAACTGCTGATTAACTTTTTGAAAATATTTTCAAAACAAGAAAACAGTCAATAGGAGGTTTAAAAATATTTTAAAAACAAGAAAAAAGTCAACAGTAGATTTGAGAATATTTTAAATACAAGAAAAAAGTCAACATTAGATTTGAAAATATTTTAAAAACAAGAAAAATTCAACAGGAGATTCAAAAAAATGGTTAAAAAACAAGAATGAGGAAAATATGATTTTAAAGCATTGATGTTTGCACTCAAAAAAGACCTAGATAAATATAAGTTTTTTCAACATATCTATGTTATCTTAAAATTGTTGCAAATGGTTGCTGAATGAAAATTTTGGTAAATAGTTAAAGATAATATAATTTATTCGAGCAGCAAGAATTGTAGTAATTACAGGAGAAAGAAACAGCATTACACAAAAATTACATATAAAGACACAACCAATTGCCTATATTCCCTTTTTGACTTTTATATTAAATTATTTATTACTATTTTAAAAAGTTACACAAATTTAATTCTTTTTAAATATAATTTGATTTAGCATCTTTCATTATACTCTGGTTTTTTTTTTTTTTTTTAGTAATGGTTTACCCCCAAAGTGGTCATTTTAATGTAGATAATGTTCGTGTTCAAAAAATCATGGTGAGATTTTAGTGTTTTAATATTGAAATATTGATTTAATAAGTGATTAAAAAGTTAGTTGAAACTGTTGCTAATTTTTTTTTTGTAATGTTGTAAATCATTTATTTTTGTGTAAGCATGTTATCTAAATCAATACAGATATAGTTAAAAGTAAAATAAATATATTATATATATATATATATATATATACTATTTATATATTAGATGTTTATATAAATATTCATATATATTATATGATTGTAGAAAGATAAAATACTATTATCGCTAACTCTTTAAATAAAAAATTGTAACAGAAATAAAAAACAAAACCTAGATATTTAAGATATTTAAATTTTAAAGGTTAGACATATAGAAGTTTAAAATTTATTATATAACTTTAATAAAACAATAATACAAACACAACTCTCGGAATTAGGGTCGACATTCGGCAATGCCGACCTAACTACCAACCTAAAGTATTTGAGGTTGGCAAAAAATTACCGTCCTCATTTCTATGTTTTATGGTCAGACCTTTGTATCTATTAATTTTTGCCGACCTCAAAAAAATTGAGGTCGGCAAATTATTGCCGACCTCATTTTCCTTAATTCCGAGGGTTGCAAACAACATTCTATTTTGCCCAATGCAGTGTGACCTGCCTAACAAATTAGGGTGACCTACCCAACTAACTTTTCTTTGACTAATTATTGTTGTTGTTTTTTTTTTGACATTTTTGATGTAAAATCAAAAATAACTTAACTAATAAACATTTTTAAGATTTTTTGTAGTTAAACCACTTTTTCTTAATTAATTTTTTATGCTGATTTCAAATTTCATGTTTTCACTTCATTATCAATATTTAGCCTTCTACTTCAATTTTAATAAAAGTGATTATTTTGACAAAGCAATCAACTGTTAAATTAAAGAATAATGCAATCATCAAAGTTCTTTTATGCGTACTTTCAAAATGTATGGCTCTTTAAATTAAAAGAATTGCTCATTTACAACATCATTAGATAAGCTTGCATGCATCTTGCTAAACAACATTTGGAGTTTAGAGTGCCTGGCTTTGCCTTAAGTTTTACAGAAAAATGGTGAAATGACTTGAATTCCAAAAGTTGCTAACACAACTAAAGTAACTATAAGTAATCAAAATTCATATAGTCGTGGACTAAGCAAGCTCGTTTATTTGTGCTATATTCAAGTCGATTCTAAAAACTCCTTTAAGTCATCTCAGTGAAAGCAAGCTATAATAGAACATTTCGAAAGATATTCAAATCGAACATCTTTAAATTCAAAAAGAAAAATGTTTTTGTTTTTATGCTGCATAAAAGTTTTGAATTCTTAATGATAATTCCATGGTTTTTAAATAAAACACGTACCAAACAAGTTTAGTACCCATGATAGAAAGGTTAGAGATAACATTTCCGTACTTTTGTTAATAGATATGTCTAATAGAAAGCCCTCAAAAAGGTTATCCATATTCATTTCATTTTTAACTTAGTTTAAAACTTTTTGAATAACTCTGTCAAAACCTAAAGCTGCATATGAAGTACATAACAGCTGAGCAGCAATTATTATTAAGAATAATAATCTATAAATAAATAATCTTAATAATAGTTAAATAATAAACGCTGATTATTTTATAATATAAAAATATATAATTCCTTATATATCTTTGGAAATTGGAGCCTAGTTCACTGTGTTGTGAAACCACTTTTGATGTGAAACAATTTTGTGTTGATTTCATATTCATCTTCAGTAAATGTTATAGACGGTATTTTGTTTGATTTTTGCTGTCCAGTCTTGGAGTTCTCGGAGTAAAAGAAGAAAGAATATAAGAAAAGGACCCCATGCATCCCCAGAACACATTTTAATCTCAGGGGAGGGGAGGGGAGCAGATGATTAGGAAATATTTAGTTCCAAGTAATTTCCAAGTATTGTCAAAATGCTGTATCAAGTTAATTCTTGGTTAACACCCTGCAAGTGCAAGAATATCTCCAAGTAAAGGCAACTTTTTGATTTAAAACTAGTTAGTTACTACGTTTTGTTGCAATTTTTTTCATTTTAATTGATATCTAAATTTAGTTAACAATAATAGAAGCAAAGTATTCTTTAGTAAATTAAAACAAAAGCAATTTTTTAAGTATGTATAAGTTTTAACAAAAAAAGTGTTACCAAATTTTTTTTGTTAAAATGCAACTATTATTTATTTTGATTCAAATATATCCGATCAAAATTTAAATTGCATATATTTTAACTTAAAGTTGCATAACTTTATACGCCAAAACCTTCTGCAAAGATTTTTTTTTTTTTTTTTTTTTTTTTTTTTTTTTTTTTTTTTCTTAAAAAATCTTTAAAAATTTCTAGATAAAATATAATAAGGCAAAAAAGTAGGAAAATCTGAATTGTTTTCCAAACTTTTCTTAAAAAATTAATTAAGAATACAGGGCTCGAATTAAGTGATTGCGAATTGCAATATCCGGAAATATCTGTGGTCATTAAATTCTTAGTCTTTAAAAAAACCGTAAAAACATTGTTTTAATGAAACGATCATAGTTTATCATATTGCAAAAATGAAAAAGCAAAACAAAAAATTTACTACTGCAAAAATAATAAGACTCAAAATTTACATATTATTAGTTATTGTTTTTTTAAACAATAATATGTAATTTAAGGATTATAAATAAAAAAAAGTTGCACAACAAAAATTATTATTCCTAAAGGTCCCTAAAACTTTTGCAGTAATTTAAAAATCAACCAATTAAAAACTATGCCTAAGCTATTTGCGCATTGTATAAAACTTTGTAGAAAAAAACAACCAATAAAAAAGTATGCTAAAGCTTCTTGCGCATTATATTTAACATTAAAATAGATTTTTATTTAGGGGGAAAGTTTATAAAATTATTTATTTAAAAATTTAAATTTTTTAAATTAGAATTTAATTATTTAATAAGAAAAAAAATCATTAAGTATATTTTTTTAAAACATGTTATTAGAGTTTCTTTTTTTTTGTTTTAAAGTAACTATTTAAAAGTTTAAATTAGTTTTTATATATTAACTCTTCCTTCTTTTAATTTTATATTCGTATCAGTTAAAGTGTTACAAGCGTTAAATTTATAAGAAAATATTGAATGAGATTTAAATAACATATAAAAGTATTTTATATCTGAATTAACAATTTCTTTTATTTAAAATATTCTATCACTGTTAAAGTCCTTTAGATTGTTGTGATTAGCGCTTATTTTTTAATATTTATATCGTACTTTATCGTGCTTTATTTTTCTAGTTTTATCTGATGTTTTATAACATAAATTAAAATATTGAAGTTTAAATTATAATCTTTAATAATAAAAAAAATAATAGTGATAATATGGTTTTACATTAAAATTTTATATCATAATCAACGTAAATATTTTTTATTAAATAATATCTATTGGGTTTAGTGATAAAACAGTTTTACGGTTTTTAAAAAGCTAAAATTTTAAAGACCGGAAGCATTTCCAGATATTGCAATTCGCGATCATTTAATTCAAGCCCTGGAATAACTGGTTAAACAAAAAATATAGAATTTTGGCTTGTGTATAAGCAAATAGCTCGTGATAAAAGCATTTTTATATCTTACATTAACATTAGAAGATGGTTGATTTGTTGTCCCCAGTTATTGGCACACACGATTTAATTATTGGCACCAATTTTAATTTATATCTAGAGAACCTAAAGATTAAATAAACAAATTTTATTTTTTAATTTTTTTTTATTTTTATTTTTATTTTTAATACAACAACTGCAGAAATATAAAGTATATTTAATAAATACATATCGTAAAAGTTGTATTTTACCAACAAAAATCACAATTTTTAGTTTGTTTAATTTTCTTTATTTTTTTAAAAAATAAAGAAAATTAAACAAACAAAATTAAAGAGAATTAAAGAAACAAGATTATTTATTTAATTGTATTCTCGACACATAAAAGGATTTATTATTTCTTTTAAAAAGTTTTTTTTATAATTCTATGCTTTTTTTGCTTTTCAAGAACACAGTTTAAGTGTACAGCATGATCATATATATTACAAAAACCTTTTTATGTATATCACATATATCACAATATCACATATATCACAATAAATATTTCACATATATCACATATATCACAATAAACTTTTTCACAGTTCTGGTATAAAATTTATGCACACGCAGAAATGGAAGTAAAAACGTAAACAAACATTATTTCAACGGTTTAAGCTATAGAGTTTTATAATGAAAAAAGATCTAAATACTAAACTTATACCATATAGAAGTTTCAAGAGTTCGAAATCATTCTCTGTCATTGAATGTAAAAATAACTAGTACAATCTAAAAATGTGGAAAGATGATTTATGTATGATGTAAAATATTAAACAAAGCTCTAACTTGCAAACTGCTAACTACCATATGAGTAAGCATTTGTTATCCATTATCAACACACTCACAGATATATAACAATATAAAAACAACCACAGCTCAGAGAAAAATAGAGAAAACTAATTAACTGTTTAACTCCTACATTATCGCTTCATAATAAATTATTTACCATAAAATATAAAATGAGAGTATGTTCAGACAGTTTTCCTGACAGAGCACTATCGTTTAAAAATGCTTTACTTATATTAATAAATGTAAACAATACAACTTTTTTAAACAATGATCTATCAAATTATGTTGATTTTAATGTTAAGCATTGTTTTTTAATAGAGTATCAAAAATTAAAAAGAAATTAATAACTTAAAAAAAGAACCTCAGCACGATATTTAGAAAAAAAATAAAGATTTATATGAAAAGTTAACTTCAACCACATCAGTTATTACAATGTAACCAGACAAATTTCTATATAAACATATTCCAAACAAATTGTATAATTGCAATTTACTTGTAAACAATTTACTTGCAATTTACTTGCAAACATTTATTTTAACAATGATAGATCATGTGACTTTTATACTGGTTTTACATCTGTCAGTTTCGTGAGTTACATAATAAACATAATCACCATTAATCAAAAGAAGATAAAGTGATGTTAAAAAAGCATCTATTGCTGTTTTTTGAAATTTAAAAAAACCCTCAACTATTCGGACCAAAAAAAAAGTTACGCAGCCAAGATGAATTTTTAATTGCTAAGACTTTGATAATTGACAACTGATGTTGCTGACAGGTTTAATATATCTTTAGGATTAGCTAGTGCAATACTTTCTATATGGGTGAAAGCTTCTAGATCACTTTATAAGCACATGGTTTTTTTTTTTCAGGAAAGACAATGGCAGATTAAGGAAATTAAATTATTTAGACTTGCACTAAATTTCAGATATAACAGTTTTTTTTTATTAAAACACCTAAAAATTTAGACTTACAGTAACTAACATGGAGTGAATACTAGCATCGCGCCAATATAAAAACATTAGTATTTGTAGCTCCAAATTCATCAATAATCTTTCTCAATATTTCATCAATAAAATTTCTTTAAATTATTTTTAAAGCTTACAGAGGCTAAATTTCAGGAAAAAAAAAATTACAAGTTGCAACAACTATTTAAATTGCATTCCGAAATACTCTTGTGTAATTTATGATATATTAATACTGAATGTTCTGAATGTTTCATCTACCACACAGCTCCCCCTGGTTGGAAAGGTGCAGCTGGAATAACTTGACAAATGAAAAATGAGGAACTAAAAAAAATAAAAGAAATCACTAATTTAAGGAGGGAGGCTAAATAAGCGCAAATTGGCATAATTGCGCCTAATTTATTTGCAAACATTGGCATAAGTGCTTACATGGCAAACTGGCATAAAGAAAACTGGCATAAGTGCGCAAAACAAAATAACAAACATTGGCATAAAAGTGCAAACTGTCAAAAGTGCGAAGCAGGTACAAAAACTGGCATAAGCTTGAATTGGCATAAGTGCACTTATGCCAATTCGCACTTATGCCAATGTTTGCAAATTATTTTTGCGCACTTGTGCCAGTTTTTGCTACTGCTTCGCACTTACGTTAGTTCGCACTTATGCCAATTTGCACTTATGCCATTTGCACTTATGTCAGTTTGCACTTATGAAATTTGTGCTTATTTAATCATCCCATTTAAAGATGCTGGTTGAACAAGTTATTAGAAGACCAATGACATTTTAAATTTCGTCAACAGAATTTTCATTTACAATGTTGAAACTATTTGATATTGTTATTATTTGCTTAGCTTTAAGTAATCTAAGAAAACCAATATGTTTAGACAGACTTTACATCATAACAAATCTGTTTTTAAATTGATAAATATATATATATATATATATATATATATATATATATATATATATATATATATATATATATATATACACACACATAAATATGTGTTATATACACACATATATGTATATATGTGTACATATATACATATATGTGTACATATATACATATATGTGTGTATGTATATATATGTTTATATATTGAATTATTTTTTACTTGTTTCTTAATATGTTATTTAAACTGGATTAGACAGGCTCTTTATTTTAATACTTATATAAGACTGATGGTTTAATATTGTTTGATAAATCTTAGTTTTACTTTGTAAATCTTATTATTAACAAATTACTGTTAAAATAACGTTTGTTTATGTTTTTACTTTCATTTCTGCACTCACATAAATTTTACATCGGAACTGTGAAAAGATCTATTCAGCCATAACTTTTCCTCTTCATAATTTGTCTTGCACACATAATAAACCAAATTTTTATCTTCCATGGATTTGTATATATGCTCTTGAGTAGATAAAGCATAGTAGATATTTTTTTCGTTTATTTGTAGGTTTATTTGCTACAGGAACTTCAAGTACTTCTTTCAATACCAACAGTCTTATTATATCTTGATAAGGATTGGGTTTAAGAGGATTTAGAAATAATCAGGAATTTCATCCATGTATAATCTAATTTTTTAATCTTATCTAATTTCATCCATATCGAAATCAAAACATATATAGCATTAATCAAAAAATGTATGAAGTCCATAAATGACTTATTCCTATATTTATTTATTAAAATTAACTTTATCTGAGTATAAACTCAGAATATGCTTTTTTCATGACTGGAGCAGTTATTTTAACAATAGCTTTCATTGCTATGCAGAAAATTTGTCATTTGTAATGGCAGCTCCTTGGTTTTCTGCCCTTCATGTTAATTACTGTAACATCAAAAACATTAAAGTTCATTGCTCTAACATCAGGTGGTTGCTGTATATGTGTGGCATTTGGGTACAAGCAGTATAGTACAACTCCTGTCTCTTTACAATACTTTACAAAATTCCTGTCTCTTACAATACTACAAGATGCATGATAGCATCTCAGGTGTCTGGAATAACCATCAATAAAAAGTACAACTTTCTGATTGTCTTTACAAAATAAAAATAAAATAAGCAAATTTTTACCTACTAAAATCATTTCAGCTTTTTCAAATAATAAAGAAAAGTCTCACCCTTCATCCATCCACTTGAGTTCCTCTGGACTATTACAAGTGGAATACATTGCTGAAGATGCTTAGACATTTTCTGCCTCTTTAAAATTACCATAGGTGGAGCCATTTTTCCTGCTGCCAAAACGTTTATTGCAACTATGACATTTTTTTTTTTACTAGTAGTGCAAACCTTTTGCAAACATTCATGCTTTCTACACCTAACAATAAATTTACCTCTGTTTAAATAAAAATAAAAAACAGTCTCATCTAAATTAAAAATACATTCTGATGACTGAAACACATATCTTAATTCCTTATCTTCAATAAATTTTTTAAAGTTGTTATACCATGCTTTGATTCCTTGGTGACATTAGTCACCAAAGAGTGATGCTCTGATGTTTTTGACTTTAAATTTGGGTGCCTTTTTAGGTATCTGTATGCTCAAGTTCTAAAATGGATTCCATTTTTGAATACAGTAGGATGCAAACTTTTATGTATTATTTCTAAAATTATTAATAATAAGTCTAATATTTTTAGAGGAAATCCTCTTCTTGTCATTTCAATAAGATACTTCTCACAAGCTTCTTTGATGTATACTGGGAAAGTAGGAGCCGGTCCAGATCTTAAACTAGATAGTTTTGTTTGTTAAGTACTGCAAAGAACTTTGTATTTTTTTACAGCTGATTTAATAGACATTTTCAATTTTTTAACTGAGTCAATCACTCTTTGCATGTTAGTAATATCAAACTGCTTTCTTTTCTTGACTTCTGCAGTGTTATTCTGCAGTGTTATAGACTGTTGCTTTCTGTTTTGTATACTGAAAATAGATTTATAGAACTCAAAGTAACTCATGGAATGTAAATGTGATGTAAACCCTATCTTTAATTGTATAGTAATGTAGACCTACACTGTTGCCACTAGAACTCATTTTTGCAGCTACCTATGTCGAAATTAATTATGATAATAATTTGGACCTTCCCTTCACACAGACACAACAAAAAATATAGTTTTTTTTAGGGTGCAGGCTTTTATTTGTCAGATATATTATTTTTAGGATGCATGTGTTTATTCATCAGATATTGTTTTTTAGGGTGCAGGCGTTTTTTCATCAGATATTGTTCATGGAATGGTATTTAAACGCAATGTAGAAGGAAATGTAACAAAAGTAAAAGATGCTAAGATTTGTGTTCTTTCTTGCCCGTTAGACTCAATGGCAACTGAAACTAAGGTTTGAATTACTTAATTTTTATTTTAAAATAAGCTGCAAATAAAGCAAAAAATGTTAAAGTTATGCTTATGTTATCTATTTATTTGGGATTTTAAAGTTGTGGGTAATAAAGTTGTTGTGGGAATTTTTATATGACTTCATTTATTCCATGGTCACAATTATTGTTGGAATATATTCCAATGCTAAAAATATTTTATTTTAATTATCATAAATCTATATGGTATTGTTGAGATAAAGTTTTCTATAGAAAAAACTAGGATCAATAGAATGTTATGTAAACACAGAAGTGTTTTTTTGTGTTTTTGAAAAATTTTGTGCTTATTTTTATCTTCATTAATTTAAGAAAAGAAGTTATTCTAAAGATAAAAAAAAGTAGTTTCTCTCATATATATCTTTTGAGCCTGCTAGTTTTTACTAAAAATAAAACACTTTTAAATATACTCTTAAAATAAGACCCATAAATATTATTAAATTCTATTAATATCAAAATTAATTAAAATTTATTTAAAAATTTATTAATTTTTATATCTTTTTATTTGTATTTGTTTGTTTTACTTAAATCTTGACTTTATTTCTCCTTTTTTTTATTTATTTTTGGTTTTATCTTTACTTTCAGTTATTGTTTTGATATTGTTTTGCTATTTACAAATTAGATTTGATATTAGATTATAATTATTGTTAGTGAGTAACTCATAAAACAAATCAATTATAAGTCTATCCAATAAATAGTGCGTTTTCATAGTATGTGTGTAATTATTTTATCGGTTTATTAATTATGTGTAAGTCAATCAAATAAAATGTGCACTTTCATAGTGTATGATTGTTTTATCAGATTAACAAACAATAGGCTTAATAGCTATGATACAGAGAGCTCATTGTTTTGGCTCAGGGTACAAGCTTTTATGTTTATCAAACTACTTGGCTTAAGCCATAAACATAAGCCACTACGTGGCTTCATTAAATCATACTCTGAGCCAAAACAATATGCTAATAGTGCAAAAGGTTAAGGTGTAAAAATGCTTACTGTACCATTACCCCACTGTGACAGCTACAACCAGATATAACAGTTGATTTCATAGTTGGTCTTGTCATGACAATTGCATCAGTCAAGTATTTGTAAAAAACTTACGAAACATTTAACACACTGCTTTTAAATGACATTTTGATTAAGGATAATTTAGCTTTTATATCTAAAATGATTTTTTTTAATCATTTATAAATATCTAAAATCTTTTGCAAAAAATTTTTACTTGTGCATATACTGTTTAATTAGTAACTCTCTTGTGACTTAACTGACATTCAGTTCTTTTTCCTGTATGGTAGATGCATGGTGGCATACAATAATGCTAATGTTAGATTGCCACTATTACTACACCATATTTTATGCAGCCTGGATTTGCCTTAGCAAATCTTTTTTTTTTTACTTTAACATTAATATTTTTATGACTTATATTATCTAAATATTATATTAATATAAAGTCTTTTTGATTGGAATTTTTTTAGATATTCAAAAATATATTTCTAAATATTGGTTAAACACAATGAAATTCGGTACCTTTTAATCGTTAAGCTAATGTGTTGTTGTTTGATTTTAATGGTAATAAGTATTGGTTATCATTGCTATCAGATTAAAATGAGTAAACAAATATTAAATCGAAAAAAAATTTAAAAATTTTTCATTAAAATCCTTCATTGTCACGAGTTGACATTTCAAAATTGATCGGTATTTCTAGATTATCAGTTGAATTTATTTTGCGGCGATATAAACAGACTATTGAAAGAGAAGCTGAAAGTGGAAAAAAGAAAGGGTTTAAAGATAAATATAAAGCAAAATCAATCATTAGCTCCGTAAAGGCAAATCCTTATCAGTTGCAGAGAGGTCTTGCGAGAAAATTTAAATTAAAAAAAAAAAAGAGCTTTGATAGGAAAAGTACTTAGATCTTAAGAATATAAAGCATATCATAAAAAGAAAACTCCAAAGCAATCCATTGATCGAGAAATTGTAGCAATTCGTTGTTCAAAAAAGCTATATAAACTTTTAAACCGAGAAAACTTGTGCATAATTAAAGACGATTAAACCTTTTGCAAAAAAGACTTTTCACAGTTGACAGGGCAACAATATTTTTATCAGCCAAGAAGTAAATATGTTGCCAAAAAAATTCAAGTATATTCAAACTGTAAATCTGCTCCCAAGTTCCTTATATGGCAAGCAATATGCTCCTGTGGTTTAAATTGTACACCATATTTTACTCATAAAATGCAGATTTATATATAAAAGAATGATTTAAGAAACACCTTTTGGCATTTATTAAAAAGCGTGAAATGCCCACAATACTGATTTGGCTACAATTCACTACTCCAAAAAGTCTGTAGAATGGTATGAACAAAATGGCGTAGAATTCTAAGGTAGCAAATCCTCAAAAATGGCGTAGAAATCTAAGGAAGCAAATCTTCCCAATTTTCCTGAGCAGCAAGTTATTAAAAGTTATAAAAAAAATCTTATTGAAAAGCAAGAAATTAGCTACAAATAAAAAAGAATAGCCGTCTCAAAAAAATGCTCATAGCAAGATCCAGCAGATATTTAACAATTAAAGAGTGCTGAATTTCATTGTGTTCAACCGATATCTAAAAAATATCTAAAAGACTTAAGATTATTTATTTCTCACAATTTTTTTTTCTTAATTTAAAAAATCACAATTTTATTTCACATAATTATTACTATTAATTAGAATACTTTTACTTTCATTATTTCACAAAAATATGTAGGTTATTTATTTAGAACTTTCAACACAAAAATTAATTTTTGATTTTTATCAGTAATACTAATATGTTTGTTAAAATATTTTTTGAATAATGCTGCAATCCTTAAACATTTTAGGGTACAGTACTTATTAAAAATGCTGAAGAATTAATGGACTTTAGTAAAGGAGAAGAAAATTTACTAGAAGCTCAAATAAAATCAATAGCAGACACTGGCTGTAATGTTATTGTAACTGGTGGTAAAGCAGCTGATATGGCTGTTCATTTTTGTAACAAGTATAACATTATGGTAGTTCGACTTCTTTCAAAGTTTGATTTAAGGAGGTTGTGTAAAGCTATTCAAGCTACTGCACTTCCTTTAATGACTCCCCCTACACCTGAAGAAGCTGGTCGATGTGATGATGTCTTTTTATCTGAAATTGGAGATACACCTGTTGTTGTATTCAAACAAGGTTAATCAAAAAAAATTTATCTTAATAATCTTTGTGGTTATTTTGTTTGTAAAGTTTTGTTTGCATTTTTTTGTAGATCGTGAAGACAATGCTGTTGCTACTATTGTCATTCGAGGTGCAACTGCCAATGTAATGGATGACATTGAAAGAGCAATTGATGATGGGGTCAATTGTTTTAAATCTTTGACCAGAGATGCCCGCATGGTACCTGGTGCAGGAGCTGTTGAAATAGAACTTGCACAACGATTAGCTAGCTATGGGCAGGTGTGTTAATTTAGACTAACATTTTTGTATTTAATTGACTTTATATTTAATAACAATATTATTTAATAATAATAGTATTTAATATACTTTATATTTTAATTTGTATAATAGACCATACCCGGTTTGGAGCAATATGCTATTAAAAAGTTTGCTGAAGCATTTGAAGTTGTGCCGCGTACTATGGCTGAAAACGCGGGTATTAAAGCTACTGAGTTAGTTTCAAATTTATATGCTGCCCATGCCTCTGGAGGAAAAAACATTGGCTTTGACATTGAGGTTTTTTTATTTTTATTTTAAAGTATTTTATTTATTGATTTGTAAACTTAGTTTTTTATTTAAAATTTATTTTAAAGGGTGAAAATGCTGCAACAATTGATGTTCAGGAAGCAAAAATATTAGATTCATTCTTAGTAAAATATTGGGCATTAAAGTTTTCAAGTAATGCTGCTTGTACAGTACTTCGAGTAGATCAGGTTAATACATTTTTTATTAATATGGTTTTTGATTTTAATTTTTTAAATATTTTATGATATTTTCACAATTTAAAAGAAAATTTTTTTATTTAAATATCGATGACAAAAATTGTAATAAATTAAAAAATATATATATTTATGGAAAAATATTTTATATTTGCAAACAATGTTTAGTAAAAATAAAACAAGAAATTGGTAGATTTTATAAATATTTAACCAAAATTTTTAAAATTATGTTTTATACATTTTTTTTTTTTACATTGTAAGTGTTAAGTAAAATTTAGCTTTCAAGTTTACAAATTTAATGTTCTTTATAAATATAAAATAATATAAATATAAAATAATATAAATACAGGGTAAACAGATTAATTCAGACCAGCTTCACACGCTTTCTCTTTTAGGCTGGCGTAGATGTTTTTATAATAAATTGTTTATAGTTTAGGATGTTGAATGCTGGATCTTCTAGACTCAGTTCATGGGTTTTGATTGCGTCTCTGTTTTTATGGCTAAGCAACTCATTCTATTATCTCTTAATGAGGTTACTATTTCCTCATACTGAATGACTTGGCTCTAGTGTCAGTGACTCTGCAGGCATTAAGGCCACCAACTGTTGCCTTTTTCAATCTTTAACACAGATATCTCACACCTCAGACTATTTGAATCATTTACCTTCTCTACTCAACTTATGTCTTGTATCTGATCCTAGTCAGTGCTTATTTTAGATGTCGCTGAAACTATCTATTCTTCTTTATATTATTTTTGTTCCCTCTAGCTGAGGCAAGCCTTACTCTTCTCCATAGTTTTTCTCTTATTGTGCTGCTGCAATTTCCAATCATAAACATTTCTTCCATATTGCCAAAAAAAATTCTCCAGAAAACAGATGTCTAGAGACATAATCTTTTTACAATAGTTTCTGGCTATCATGAAGACATGATAGCCAGAAAAATATTTTACTATTGTAAAAATATTTACTATTGTAAAAAGATGTCTAATGCCAAAGCCTGCTATTCTCAGGTCACAAAATCTTATAATTCATCTCAAAATTTAGGCTCCAGAGACTTCTGGAGAATTTTTAACATTGTCTATGATCTGTTATTCTGGCAAATCTGTTATTCCTCCTCTCTTGCATAGTTCAGATTTTTTTATCTCACAATAGGACAAAGCTGAATTGCTTGCTAAGAACTTTTCATCATCATCATCATCATCATCATCTCAGCTCTTAATTCCACTAATCACATTCTACCTGATATAGCCAACAATCAGGTTGATCCATTGCTTGACATTGTATCACTCCAGCTACTGTATCTAAAGTGCTTTCCTGCTTAGACTTTTCTACAGCTTGTGGTTAGGACAGTATACTAGACTTGGACAGGAAAGGTGTACGATTGCACCCTGTAACCGACCACGCTTATAATATTTTTTCTTTACAACTTGACCACGGCGGTTTTGATGTTTTGACAGTTTTTACATTTTAAATAACTTTTAATTGTTGATCTTTTCTTAAGTTTTTATTTTATGTGAAGGCTTTGAATAAAATAAAATTTTAATTTTAATGATTGTTTAAAATAAACATATTTTTTGTAAATTAACAAATGTTATATTTAAATTTTTTTTATGTAGGCATGTTTTATGATAAATTTAAATATAATAATTTGTTTGAAACTATTTTTCCTAAATATTTAGAAAGATATTTTTTAAGTTACTTTAAATTATGAAAAAGCTGAATTAAATCTTTTGTGACAATAGAATGATTTATTTGCTTTATTTTTTTTTTTTTTTTTTTTTTTTTTTTTTTTTTTTTTTTTTTTTTTTTTTTTTTTTTTTTTACAAAGAACTGTTCAAACTCTTTTTTCTTTCAACTTGACTAAGTAAGAGCATGAAATGATTAGAAATTAGTATTTTAAATAGACTACGATATTTAAAATTTTTTTTTTTTTTTACAACTTTTTGGAAAAAATGTTTATACAATTTAAAAATTATATATATATATATAAACTTTTTTGGTCAAAATTTGTTCATTCATTAAACAATCATTAGAAGTAATTTGTAAAAAGCGTTTTATGACTTTTAAAAGGTATTTTTAAGAAATTTATTATAAACACAATTAAAAGTGCAACAAAAGTAATTTTCGCTTCAAGTTTTTTTAGTTCTATTTTAGTGCTTACATATTTTCTTTTTCGTTTTCTTTTTTCATTATTACTTTTTTTAATTTTCTTACTAGTTTAAATTTAGCTAGTGTTTCATTTTCCAACGTGTTTCTAAAATGTTTTAAAATCATTTAAACATCTAAACAGTCATGGTCAAATTGTCAAAAAATAAAATTATTTGTGTGGTCAGTAATAGCACTCTATCGCATGCCATTCCTGTCCAAGCCTGCATACCTGTTTTAGTCTTGTAGAAGTGTTCTCCAGAGCTGTCATCTCTACTTTCAAAACTATTTATCAAGTACCTATCGATGTCTTGTTTTCCAATCTGCAGAAAACCAGTATTTGTTATCCCTATTTTTAAAAATTCTGGGGAGCACTCTAACTCGTCTAACTACTGCCCATTAGTCTTCTTACTATCATCAGAGAGGTTGTAATCTTGAATCTAATAACTTATGATCACTCTTGACATATCTTTGATAAAGTTTGACATGCTGGTTTTCTCCGTAAGCTCTCTTCTTACAGTGTATCGGTAACATTTTTCAAGACTATTGAATTCTCCCTTACTAATTGTAGTTAAAAGATGTCCTCAATCGACAGCTCTCCTCTTAATTTCCTGTAACTTCAGGGGTTCCTCAAGGTTCTATCCTTGGCTCTTTATTCTTTTTAATTTATCTCCCAGAAATTCTTACATCTAAGGTGGCATTGTTCGCTGATGATACAACCATATATTATTGTCTTGATAAGATGCCAACACTCTCTAATTGCTTGGAGAGGACATTTGACCTTGGAAAGGGTCTCACTTCTGGTTAAGCATGGGGGTCCCATTGGCTGATTAGCATTAACTCAGATAAAATTCAATTTTTTTCGGCTAATCATTATTGCAACAATCTAGATTTTCCTATTTTTATGAGTAACAATGTACTTGATAAGTCATCTACCCTTCGTCTTCTAAGATTAACTCTTACTTCAGATCTTTCTTGGAAACCATATATCGATTGCAAAATTACCATCTGCTAAGGTTGCATATCTTTATCGTGCTCGACATTTTCTTACTCCAGATTTTATTCTTTATCTCTATTAATTTCAAATCTGTCCCTGTCCTTGTATGGAATATTGTTGCAGTATATGGGGCGGATCTTCTAATGTTGCCATTTCTCTTTTAGACAAAAACGCATTGTAAACATAGTTGCAAAAACGCATTGTAAACATAGTTGGAACTGCTCTTGCAGCCAACCTCCAACCATTATCACATCGTTATAATGTTGCTTCTCTTTTTGATAAATACTATAATAAATGTAGCTCTAAAGAGCTAGCGTCTCTTGTGTTGTCAACAAATATTCATTCTTGTGTTACTTGTCATTCAATTGAGTCTCATCCTTTTTCTGTGACTATTCCTGAGTGCTCTAAAAGTTCTTTTTTGTCAAGTTTTCTTTCTGAAACACCAGTTTTTTGGAATTCTCTCTCTTGTCTTCCTGATTTTCCTGATTCTTCCTGATATAGTTTGCATCTTTTAAGTCGTCTGTTAATCTTTATCTCCTTTATAAACTTTATCTATTCTCTTGCAGTAACTTCCAACAATAGTAGTGGTTGTTTGAAGCCTTGTTGGAAGTGAAGATGTTAAAAGAGAAAAAATTCTTTGCACATTTTTTAGAGAATTATTATAGAAAAATTTATTAAACATTTCAAAATCATGTTTAATCTCAATAATGGGGTTTTTCACAGGCTGGCTGTACAGACAAAAAACAAAAAAATTATTGGCTTTTTCTACAACTTCGTCATCGTCATTTCCTGTTGAATTTGGTTCTGCAAGCATTTCATTAATAACACTTTCAAGTGTTATTAATGAAATATTTGCAGTTTGTATCTTTAGAAAGTTTGCAAAAATAAATCATTGCATTGCCCATTCGAGTGAATTCAACATTATACACTTACATTAGATGTTTGCTCAAAAAGATGTGCAAAAACATGTGTACCTCCCACTGGTTAAAATAATTTATAGCTGTTTAAAATTGAATCATTCGATGAGAGAATTAACCATAGTCAAATTATGATTTTGCAAAATACCTCAAGACAACAGATTTTTGTTTTTGAAGTTTATTTTTTAATACTTATGGTTTTTTTGATTACTTTTATGGCTTTTTTGATTACTTTTTGGCTTATTTTTGATTGTAATTACATGAAATTTATAAAGAGCAAAAACAAATTGCATCGCTTACTAATCACATATGCATATATAGTATTAGCATTAAATTTGATATTAGAAATCTTTACCCCTGTAAATTTATTTAGTATCCAGTACTGTTTTGCATCCTGTAATTCCAGGTGATTCTTCGCATTACTGTATTCTTAGTGCACGATACTGTTTGAGCTACTTTTTATCATTCAGCTGTTTGACAATAACTTTACGGTTAAATACTTTAAATTTGTAACTGAACTGCTACTTTGTAACTGAAGCTAACTGAACTGCTACTACAGATTGATTTATTACAGACTTTACTACATAAAATAGTTTTTGTGAAACTCAACCTATCCATCACCAATAAAAGTGATGTGCAAAATATGGTGTAATGATTTAATTAGGGATCATGCGATTCACCTTAAAATCGCTAAAAGTTGCAATAATAAAGCTACATATTCAAATGAGTTATCAGTGCAGGAGCATAACTACAGAATCAATAGATATATAGTTCAGTGCTAACGCTAGCCATGTATGTGACATGTGGTTAAAAAAAAGCAGTGTAACTTTCCAGTTAAATGCCTAATCTGTCGTGCTTTTAAAAAGAATATAAGGTCTTCTTAATGAAAAAATTATTTAAAGAAACATTTCAGCGGGCACAAACGTCTTACGAACGACTTTGCAACGTCTGATAGACGTGACAAATCCGTAGGACGTCCAACGAAGAAAAATCAATCAGAGAACTTCACAAGAAAATGGGCTAAAAGCAAAGACTTCAAATTCTTAAAATTTTATGAATTCCTTATCTAACAACAATTACATTTTGAAAATTTGTTGTTAGATAAGGAATTTATAGACTGTCGCCAAATGAATTGAAAATCGAAAAACAATATGTTAATCTTGAAACCGAATTGGCTGAAAAGAAAGCTAGGATTAGACTTGTTGCACATATTAAGCGAGTTAAAAATTAAAATTAAATGACTTTTTTTAACTAAAATGCAATAATAGTCGATTTATTTGGAAGATGCTGATGAGTAGTAATAATGATTCTATTTTGAATATGCTTTATATATCTCATGAAGTTATCCTTGTTTTTCTTAAATACATCAATATTTTCATCATATTGTAGCGGAATACTAAGATATCTCATAGTTTTTGTTATTTTGATAAAAATTAGTTACAAGCTCCTGCTTATACTGCTACAGATATATTTATATATAGATATATTTATAACGACAGATATGATATATAAAAATATTGTTTGTTGTGTTTTAATGTTATTTCAAATTAATTATTTTCTTATTAGATAATTATGGCAAAACAAGCTGGCGGACCAAAAGCAAAGGAGAACCCTGATTGGGATGAAGATTAAATCAGTTCAAAGAAGTCAACTCGATGGTTTTGATTAAAAAAAGTCCTATTGCCCAAAGCTCCTAACTTTTATTGTCATGACCAACATCGTCAGCCTAGTCTTAAATTCTTGAGTTACTCGTTGCCACAGAATATTTTAGGCTACCAATAGATATTTGTTTTTATATCAACAAATTAAAAGTGAATTGAGTTTTTTTTTTTTTTTTTTTTTTCCTTAAACGTCCCAAAGCTCATTAAAATGCATATATCGATGTGGTGGGGTTGTATATAGATACAAAATTTTTTTAAGATTAATTTGATGTTTTAACATTTTTAATAAATTGAATTTATAAAAAAAAAAAAAGAACTTATAAAGTAATAAGTTTTTAATAGAAAATTAAAATTTGATGTTTTAAATTTTTTTAGAAACTGAAAAGTTTAAAACAAATTATTAAAGGAATAGTATCTTTTTAAACCTATTGTGATTTCAAGTAACTTGGTAGTTTTGCTTTATAAGTTTCTTAATATCTTAACAAGAAATTACAAAATTTTAAAATCGTCAATTACTTTGTAGTCCACGATCTTTAAAAATTAAAGTGTGAAAATTTATTTTAAAATTTTTTATGACAAAAAAAAGTGGATTTGATCATTATTTCTTCTCTGTTTAAATTACAAGCTATTTAATTTTTTTTTTAATGTACATTTCTGTCTCAACAGTAAGTTTGAGGATCATTGGTATTGGGGTTTGGGTAATTAGTGGTTTTCCTGTAAGAAACCCTAACCCTGTAGTCACCAGGGGGAAGCGGGTAAAATTAGCATCGCTTTCGAATCATTTAGATAAATGAATCAAATCATTTAAAGAAATGAAGTCTTAAGGTATAAGTTAGTTATGATTTTGTTAATTTTATTCTATGTGATCTCTTACATTTTGAAATATTTTTGTCACAAAATTGGCAATTTTTAAGTTTCTGCCAGTTATAAATTGGCCGTCAAGGCAACCTCGATTTTTTTTTTAATTTATTATTTTTTTCTTAGTTTTATATATTTACTGTATATGTTGTAAAAATTTTTACTGAGATATCAAATCAAGAGTTTCTACTATATTAAACAAGATCTAAAACTTAACAGAATTACGTCGTTTAATCCATCGCATAAGCTTGTATGCATTCCATTATTTATGTATTTAAGCACGTTACTTCGCTTCTGTGAAGCTTTACAAAATAATATTACTTCTTTGATTGTGCCAATTGTATTTCCTAACGCATTTTGCAGGTCCCTTATCTCCCTAAGATACTTTAGACGACCCAAAGCCGTTGATTCCGGCAACGGAACCCATTTAAAAAAACATGATATATTATTTAAAGTAGATGTTTAACTTGCGGAATTTTTTTTGGACGAAATATAAAGCCGCTTTTTTTTGTTTATAAATTTATACCGCCATTAGTAAATAAGGCAAAAGCTGAAGCCGATGCCTGGAGCAAAAATTAAAAATGAAAGTTAAGAGTATCAAATGTTCCCAATAAATTAAAGATAATTCAAAAACCGTTTTAACAATAATAAAATACTTATAAAAGTTTTTTCATGAGTTCATTAAAAAGTATTACAATGCATAAAAATGCTTTAAAAATGTCTGTAATTTCACAATTCAAAACTTCATTCCCTTTCTAATCGGAAATGAATTTAAGAAACAAAAACTATTTTACCAGTATTCTAATTTCCTCTTAACACTTTTGCATAAATAGCATTTATATTTAAAACATATTGACTTCATTTAAGAATAGTTAAATAACATTTGTTTACAAACTTAATCCACCCTTTGTAAAATGGATAAAAGTGGCTTCACTTTTCGGATCGAAGTTAGACATCCAGTTTATATAATATATCGTTGCATATATATGTAAAAAATATTTGTTTTAATAAAATTAATATACGCGCTTTGTATCTTGTATGCGTGCATGGCCGAGAGGTTAATGCGAGCGATAACATGTCGGACACCGGTGATCGAATATCAGACAAGTCATAATTACTTTTTTATTTTGGAAATTTATATATAAATTACAAAAATTAAAAATTATAATACTTATTCATAAATTAATGTATGAATATTATAAATAAATATTATATAAATATGTATTATAAATCAGCGGTGGCGGAAGGTAATAAAAAGTGGGGGGGGAAGGAAGGAGGCTAAAAATATTTTGCAAATTTTATAAAACTAATATTAATTTTCAGTTAACCTAAAAAGAAAACCATATCCATCCATTTTCAATAAAGTATAACATCAACTATAAACATATTTCACTAAACTTTAAAATTAAATTCTGGTGTCTTTACTTTTTCCATTTATAAAATCTTTTGTTATAGCTTTTACATCTATTTCTGCGGTGTTCAACTTATAAAGTTGAAAAAGTAGAAGATGATTCAATTGCTTCTGAGTCGAAGTCAACCGGCTATATGACTTTATCGTTCTTAGATGAGAGAAAGATCTCTCGGCTGTGCAGGTTATCAATGGTATCGCTAAATAAATTTTTAGAAGTTTTGATATTTCAGAAAACATAATTGAGACTCCTTTACAGCCGTTTAACATATCAATTATAGTTGTGCTTGATGTTACCTGTTTAATGTTCATTTTATATGTAATGTTATAAGTTTCCTTAATGGATTTAAATAGAAAGAGTTCAGCTGTTAATTTTTTATAAACTAAATCATTTTTATAGAAAACCTTTATATTATCTAAAGCTTTTATGTCCGCATCACTATTTGCAGTGAACAATAATAACCTTTCTAAAGCAATTATTGATTCCATTGAATTTTCTGGGAACTGAAGATTTAATTGAATTTCTATTGCATCAAGTACCTCGTAATACTAGGCTCGGTAATATTCCATCATGTCTCATTTGTAAATGTTCGAAGTATTATCATCAAAGCGAAAAGGATTTAAACATCGGCAAAGCCAAAAAGCATGAGGTGAATTGCAACCGAATTTCTTAACTCATTCATTAACACAAGACTCAAAAAATGATTTAAAACGTGTTTCTGATCTCATAGATAATATATGAATTTTTAATAACATTATTGATTAAGCAATTGTTTGTGCATCTACTTCAGCAGATTGCATATGTTGAGAAACTTGCTCTACAGTTGCAAACACATTTACGTAAGGCGAAGCCCAAAATATAATTGAAATGATAATAATTTATTAAGTAAACCTTCTGCTTTAGCTCTGTTAGGATCGTTTGATTCAGAAATTTCTTGCAGCTCTAAAACAATTACTTGTTTGAAAATTTGTCAGAATTGAACCAGATGATTTAGTGCTCGTGGTAAAACAAATTGACAAGGAACGCTTAAATTGATTTACTTGACATCCTCGTCAAGTATATCATATTGTAATTTTTTATAATTTGCCAGTCTTTTTGGAACAAAATATATGAAGTTATACAACAGCTGGCACAATTCCTATCCCTCGCTCATACAGCAGCTGGCACAATTCCTGTCCTTTGCTCGTACATTTGCTTGACATCCTCGTCAAGTATACCACATTGTAATTTTTTATACCTTACCAGTCTTTTTGGAGCTAAATAAATGAAGTTAAACAACAGCTGGCACAATTCAAGTCCCTCGCTCATACATCTGACTTGTTTACAAGCATCTTGAAGAACAACGTTGAGTCGATAGGGGATGCCATGACATTGAAGCGACACCATCGCAACTTTGCCCCCGCACCATTTTCTCGTCTAGTCCACATCTTAATAAAACATCACATATTGCATAAAAAAGCGACATACTGTCGATAGCATCAACTGCATAGAGACCAAGAAAATGTTCCCATATTGTAAAATTTTCAGAAACTGATCGAACACATTAGACATTTGCTCAATACCGAAATGTCTTGAGTTTCATTGCATATTATAGAGAAAAAAAATCTCAATTTAATAGCACTTAGTATATTTCTTAGCACATAATTTGCCATTAGTTCTATCATCTGGTTAACAATATTATGAGACATGTATTTAGTGTTTGACAGCCAGCTCAATTGAGGTGGATAATCTTTACTCCTCATTAAAAGTAACTGTATAAGATTGCCTTCAATTTCATCATTCCTTCGAATAGCTAAGCCTTGTTAAGTAACACATTTTAATGTAGAGATTACACGAATTAAGCACTCGTAATGCTCATCGAATTGCTTACCATCCATTTCACTTATCATTTGATGAATGGTTTTTAAACCTGCTGCATGTAGTGCAAATAATTATTCATGTGCCTCCTAATGAAATGATGATGGGTTGTGTTTTCTTAATCTTTCTACAGCCTTTTTCCAATTGTCATAACCAGTTGTCAAAAATTTTGTTCACCGCATTTTGAAAAGGATACCATATTTTTCTTGACAGCACCAATGCAATATAGCAAAACACCTTCTTTTTGGAATGACATAGATGAATTCAAGGGTAGTCTATAATCCATTTTTCATCGAAAATCTAAGTTGTTTGCCATACATACTTTTGGTTGCTTTAATATCGGCAGGATTTATTTGTTTTTTCGGCATTACAGTCACAGCAGGACAAACAGGAAAAGATTTTTCAGTGTCGTTTCCTTCTTGAATAATTTCTTCCGTTGGTACAGTTGTACTTGAAGAATGCTTGTCATGTATAAAGTAAGAAATCAGTGTCCGTTGTTTTTTATGAGACTAGGAATTTTGAATTATGTAAAATTTGCTTAAGTATAGATTTATATAATATTCATAAATGTTAATCGCTCGCTTGTGGATTGTAAAACATTGTCCATAGCAAACACATAAAGTTATTATTTCAAATACAAAACGCTAATTGCTTCCTAGAAGCTTGTCAAACGTGATTTAAAGCAAATACGTCAAGTAAGTATTTCAAATACAAAATACTAATTGCCCTCAAGCGGCTTGAAGTTCTGATTTAACACAAGATAAAAACTTTTCAAATAATAATTTTACACTGCTTTGCCACCCCTGTTATAAATATAATATAAACATTGCATTTTAATTATATAAATTACTTTTAGTTTTTGAAAATTATTTTAACGACGAATCAAATTAAAACAAACTTTCCTTTAAGCGGACGTTTTTTCGGACACCGCAAGATAAGTAATATTGAAAACAAAGTCTGAAACCCAGAGCCGGCTGGGTTTTCAGCCTACACCTTCTAATTGGAGGAGCTTAGCAAATTTAGAAGTCCTT